AAACCCAACTGATCATTGGAAATAAGCAACCAATGGCCAATCGATTGTTGGCCACTAATATGTCGCATTATTCTACCCATTATGGCCAATAGAACCTAAATAAACTTTGTTCATTGGATGGACAAAAAGCTTATATCACGCTTATGTGATAGTACCGTACAATAAATTTTAAAATCTTCTCCATTCATGAGACTTGAATTCATGCTCATAGGTTATCTTGAATTTGTGCATTGCATTATGCAATTTGTAAAATTATAAATTCTAAATAGGTACAAACTTTTTCAAATAAATTCTGAAAGCATAAGGTCTATTGAATTCTAATACGGATCATTAATTTTAGCATTGTATTTCCAAAAATCAAGTATTGCATTTCTTTTAATTTAAAAACATTCTTTTACATCAAAAACAACAAATTTTTTCTCACAGCTCCTATGATGATTGACGATCTCACTCGTATAGCTAAAAATTTTAAATTCAACGATTTTGTCATTTTGAAGACTCCATTGATTACAGAACTTTAGTTTTTACAAGTGTATTCAAGAACAGTTTCTGAAATAGTAGCGACATTTTTCCATTATCATTCTGAAATAGAAGCGTCTTTTCCGTTCTTATATATAAACAGGATTAATAAAATACCTATCAAATATATTCATTGTCATTCAATTTGTGATGTATGAACAACAGTTTTACTTTCATTCCTATGATGCTCATTTTTCCGGTGAAGCTGTAGAATTAAATTAAAAAACCTAATTAAAAATAAATTTTATTAAATAAAATTTTATTATTTAATACACTAGATGGTACATGCTGTAGAATTAAATTCTATTAGAAAAATGTTAAATTAAAAATCTGATTAAATTTCTTAAATTAAAAATTAATTTTTATTAAATTAAATTGTATTATTAATGCATGTTATGGTACATGCTCTATGTTTTATATAATGAAATAGTTTCCCCTTTTAAACAACAAACATTTTCTAAAAGACACAAAACGTTCAAAAACTTGCGATGACAGACAAAATCATTTAGAATTTGCAGTGAAGTTATTAAGATAAATTCAACATAATAGGGCAAAAAATTGAAAAAATTCAAATCTGGATCATATCAATGGGTTTTTATAATTTAAAACAACTTTCAATAATTTAAATCTCAGTGTGGAATGTGTATCAAGTCTATTTATTGTGAAATCAAACTTGACATGAGCAACAAAATATGTGTGACACTGCCATGTCGAATGTAATCGTAGAAGCACAATGTGAACGTACACCTTGAAAAAGTTACAGTTAACCTCATAATTTTGTGTGATATCAAAAACTTTGTTGGTATTGTCCAATCGTGAGAATTTTTTGCAAATATGGATGCATTTTTTTTTATTACCACGTTTTTCTTAGCTCGCTTTCGTGTCTGTCTGTCTGTGATGATCAAATCTTGCAATCGACATTTCACCAACTTTCCCGCTAGCTAGCACTTGATGAATATGATGGTTCATTGAACATTTGATAAGTGTATTGCTGATATATCTGATTTGAGCAAATTTTGTTATTTACTGTTGGTATATTGATTTATCATGTTTCATCCAATATAGGTAGTTTGAAATGTGTATAAGTAATTCAAGCAAGTAAAGATATGAATCGTGAATAACGCACGTCAGGGTATGTGAAAATTTTAAAAGAATCAAATTTTGAGAATTTTAAATGAACGCGTGGACTATATCTAATCAATTTAAGAGGCATATTAAGACATTTGAAAAGAAAATGCATTAAGTATCTAAATAGTTCACCATTAAATAGCTCACTATCAAATCAAAGGTATATGGAGACTAGGAGTAACGAATAGTGATAGATAGAAAAAAACTTTTTGCCTAAGATTTTTTAAATTCATCATTAAAATAATAATATTTATCCAGGATTTAGGAAGCTTCTATCCAATATTCCAAAATAGCAAGCGCGCAAATTTTTGTCGTGATTGTGGGTATCTTTGTTCAATTTTCCAGGAAGGTTAATAAGTCATTATTATGTTTGAGAAAATATGAAGTGTTAAATTTTCTTTCCCATCAGAAGTTTCTTGCTGAATTAACTTGAATTTTCACATATAAAATACCGGTACTTATGTTATTGGTAATTATAAAATCATGGGCAAAAATAAATTCATGTAAATATTTGCTACAAAATAAATTACTCTAGGGTCCCAATTCACCAAAGGGAAAATCAGGCAGGGATAAAAGCCATCTATGAATCAGACAATAATAAATCAGAAACCATTAATAATTTGACAAAAATGCCCTAGAAGCAACCTATGGATGAGTAAAAAATGCCCCAGAAGCTGTCCACGAATGCAACAAAAATGACACTGAATCCACTCAACAATGAGGCAAAAAACTGCACATTTTTGTATGCAATTTTTGGATATTTCCTGTAAAATGATCTTTCTATTTCTAACCTGCAAATTGAAAATATTTCTGTCTAAAATTGCATGTCAGCCCACTCATAACACTGGAGCTGAATTAGCTGTAACCTGATGAGATTTAATTGAATAGGTGTATATGTTGCCTTTAGATGTGAAGGTATTATTTTAAACACATAGTTGAGTAACAATTTTGGATTGTGTATCTACACAATTTTTGTGTAATGATAATATTTATTAGATATTTTAATTTATTTATACATTCAATATGCATAATTTTGAAAAAAATATTTTGACATGAATACGTATATTGCATAATTGTTCATACTCATTTGGTATAAAAAACTTGAATTTCTGCATATTTCTGTGCTTGGTGCAAAAGGGTCAAGTTCTTGGTCATTATTGGAAGAAATTCAATGGGGAGAGATTTATTTTTGGCATCAAATATCAATCAATAATAGTTACCTTGTAATTTGATTTTGGAGAGATGCACAATTTTGTAGTATTGGTATTCTATCCAGCTCCTGCTGTAACATTAAAATTTATTTTAATTCCAGGTGGGAAGAAGAAGCCACTGAAGGCTCCAAAGAAAGATGCCAAGGACATGGATGATGTAAGTGTGAGATAGAAACCATCATACTCTTGGAACATTAAAAAATATAACTCAGTACTCACTGCAGTGAGTGACAGAGTGCATTTTCTTGGCGATGAAAACGTGAAGTCATGGATGGACAGACTGACGGAAGGACGGACATGACGAGGCACGAGCACAATAGCGCCTTTTTTCCATAAACGAGAAAATGCGCTAAAAACATCTAACATGTCATTTCTGTAAATTTAGAAATAAATTCACATACTAAAATTCTTCAAATACAAGCAAACAATTTTGGATCATGTCTTGAAATTTAAAATCAGTAGGTTTTTAAGCTTAGTTTTTGTTTTCTCTTCACTTGGGTTTTACTCTCTTACCTGAATAAATTGATTTTTGCTGTTGATTGTACTTGTAACTTCTGAAGTTTTGGTAGTATCTGATGATGGAGCTGGTCTCTGAAATGTTTCTCTGCTCTTCACTTGGGGTTTTTCTTTGCTTTCATATATATATATATATATATATTTTTTTTTGTGAACGTCTCTTCTAAGAAGACTAATGATATGAACTAGTGGCATATGCACTAGTAATTAGTGGCTTTTAGTGTTGCAGCAACATCAGAGTTTCAATATTTCCATGGAATATTATTTTCAATTACTGATTCATTTTCCCATTTGAATTTGAGAGCATTTGAGAAATTTTAGATTATGTACGAAGGAAAAACCATGCTTATGTATTGTTAAAATTTTAATTTCGCTGTAAATTTCATGCACCATGTTTTGGTGGTCATTCTTAGATCCTTTACAAAAAAAAATGCAAATTATGTATTTGCTGCCATCAGATATTATTTATTATTATTTTTGTTTTCTATTGAATTTAACTTGTATTTTCATTAGAAAAGTCAAGGGGCAGTATCTATCATTGTTTGAAATTATACTAGTGAATAAATTAACTCACTATATTGAAAAAATTTAAAGTTGAACTTGAAATTCAGAGTCAAGCAACAAGCTATACCACATGTTAAAATTGAAGATTTGGACCAACATTTAATGAAGAAGGCGATACCACAGGGTGACTGTTTTTTTGTATTAATGTTTCAATCTTAGGTTCTCTGCTAACATTGACTTCTGTAGGTATCATCTTTGATCATCAAATCTTGTCTGAAGTTCTGTAATTTTTTTAAGTAAAAACACTGTCCTTTCTTTTATGCCCGTTTAAATCTAAAATAATCTATCCTCTTATTAGGGGTGCTGTTTTGCTAATTTTGAGTCCTGAAATTTTTAAGTTATTATATAGGTACTACTTAGCAGCTAACAAATATGTAGGGTCTGACCCAATCACTATCTTGTCATAATACTTGAGTTCTTATCTTGGCTGAATTCCATTTGTTCTCGTTTCCATTGTACTCATAAATGGAGAACAAGAACATATAGAATTTAAACCGTTCCTGGGTCAGTAACAAGGTAGAAGTTGGCCAATCACACTCGACTGTTTTTTTTCGTCTCAGTAATCATTTGAGGATACTGCTAATAAAATGTCTAAGAGGCAATTTGAGTGATCCATCTTTTAGAAACTACTACTTGCATCTTATAAACAAAGATTTTTTCTAAATCTTTGATAAATTTTGCATATTGAATGACGTCTGAATGTAGTTAAGCTAAGTATATTTTGTGCCAGCAGAAGCATTTTGGCAGCATGGATTGTGAGGAATCTGAAGGAGGTAAAAGTTGCTGCTGGAGTGAGGCGCAGAAGTACGGATTCCATTTTTCTTCTTGATTTATTGATACGGGGAAACTTTGAATTGTGAGTACTTGGGCGACAACATCAATTTTATGCCAATGTATACATTTTGTCATCAGGAGGACAAAGCCTTCCATCAAAAGCAGAAAGAAGAAGCCAAGGCCCTGAAGGAGATGGCTACCAAGGCAGCCAAGGGAGGCCCACTCGGTAAGCATAGCAGATGCTGGCGTCAATTCAAACAGAAGTTCCAGGGGCACTAAAATATTGAAAATTTATAGACTTTTAATTTATTTTGTATACTTATTATACCTACATTTTTGAGTTAACATTCCAATTCAAGTTCTGAACACCCAACGAAATGGTTCTATCCCTTAACCATTGCAAATTCGGAAAATGGTAAAGTTGGTTCTAAGGTTTTAACAATATATGGACGAGTAATTGCTTCAGATTCTTAGATTCAATAAATGCACTCTAAATCAATGGATAAATCCTTGAAATAACGGGATTAAAATGTATAATTTTATTGCAGTCACTGGCGGCATCAAGAAGAGTGGCAAGAAATGATCACCCGACGCCTGTCCGATCTCCATAAATTTATTTGCCCTGAACGATTTCAGTAAAAAACGAAGTTTTATGAGTGTGTTTTAATATCTTTCCATCCCGGTCTAAAAAATTGTTCTATTGAGGCAATTTTCTCAAAGTTCGTTCTCCATCATTCGCTATGTTCTTTTGAGGAGCGCGACAAGAGAGTGCAGTTTTCATGGATTTCTTGCTGAGCTATTTATTAGGCATATGATTCTTGAATGAATAATTTATGATTTCGGTTATTCGTATAAGTTTATCGTTGAATCCTTCGTCGAGCAGTTAACCAGAAAGTATCCGAATTAAAATGGTATTTTATAATTTACTCTTGTCAAGTGCGAGGTGCATAATACGACTCACTTTAAGTTCTTTAACGCGATACGCAGTTCTGTATCTAATGCTAGGAGCGAGTGGTGATCATCCGAATTTTGAGTTAAACTTCTCAAGTAGGTTTTCCTCGTGTCCGTTAACAACGTACCAAAATCAAAACTTTGTAGGGATAGATGAGCGTCGACGCTGTTTCGATTCTCCCGAGGTTGCCTCCAACTGCTCCAGTTTTTCAGCATATATCGCCGAAGATTTCCTGCGCTCCTCCAAGCCTGTCAAGAATGACCATATGTCTTGCATTATAGTTGTTATATTGTCGATATAAACATGACCTCCTGACAGGAAATTGGTTGGCGGGGAACTATTTTCTTGGGGGTATTGAAGATGTTGCACTCGATGATGCTGGATTAAACTCGCTGAATTTGAATGCGATACATGGCGGTTTATTTTTTCTAAATTATTTGGTTCACTCGTGTACTAATAATAAACCTCAGCCAAAGTTGCATGCATGAATTAAAACTGTTGATCACTACTTACCTAGTTCTTCTTGGTAGTTCCAAGGTTGGATGTCAGCGCTAATCGTCAGGATGTAAATCACTGCCGTAGCTCCTGTTATTGCTGCTGACATCAGGAACACCGTCTGCCAGGCTGCCAGCGTTTGCTGCCCATATTTAAACCTTGAGTTCTCGTATAATTTTATAACAGTGAGACATCAAAGAGCTCAACATTCACAAAAAAACTTGTACTTAGAGGATTTAGAGAAAGATTTAGACGTCGTTATGGTTATTCCCGAAAGAATTCGCCCTCCAGATAGAACGAATCGCAGAAATATGTTACTTTCTGAAATTAATGTGAACTTGGAATGAACTGCTGCCCTCTTGGGCATTTATTCTTGAACGGTTTCATCGTTCGCGTTTCTAGGATATTCAAATTATATAATTGCACTGCAGAGCTAATTTCACAGGTTTAGTATTCAAGTCCTCATGAGTTGAATATTTCATAGCTCTCAATGAATGCATTTAATATCCGGATTTATTCTTGTGCTTTAAATTTTGATTCGTCTACTGTTGGATAATTTTTAACATACATTGTTGTTGGTAATGGCTCCAGTTACAGCTGGAGAGACGAAGCCTGGTATGGTAGCGAAGGTGTTAGTCAGCCCCATGAGGGTACCCGCGTAGCAGGGTGCCAGGTCCACGTGTGAACACAAGTATCCTGAGTAGCAAGCGCCACACGCGCCCACTGCGATGCACAGGATGACGATGGCAAGAGTGCGGTCGCAACCCACGAAGCACATGCCGATCAGCGCCAGCATCGGGATGAAGCTCGCTGCCGGCGGTAAAAAGCAATCATGTGAGAGGCTCCATGCTAACTCTGATATCTCAGCTCGAAGCCGAGATTTCTTAAATCAATTTTGCTGATTATTCGTACGCTAGCATCTGATTCAATGCAATCTATTCGAAACTTGCTAGAATTAACTTTCGAAGTTATTTCGGATTGGATTTGAAACGCGTTTTGTCATTCTCTGCAAGAACGATGAGCGAGTTAAAATTTGTGAAGAGGGGACATGAAGATGAAGTGAGCCAGTTCAGTTGGAACTGATCTGGAGCTCTGAGACTGATAGCTGTGCGAGAGTTTAAGGGTTAGTTTAAGAGTTAAATTAGTTCCCCATGGCTAGCCTACACCCCGTCCAAAAGAAAAGCAGTGGAGCACAAACTCGTAATCGTATGTTCAGCCGCAGGCGGTTACCTACCACAAATTTAAATAAAGCGATCCGGATGTCTACTTGCATTTACCCCATTGAAAATTAGTTTTAGATGGCAGAATTTGTTGATTTATACGCGTGTGATTAATGAACAGAGAATTCGTTGATTTAAATTATCAAAGAGTCGGACAATTCTTCTGATGAAGTTGGGAGATCGAAAGGCATATTTCAGGAAGTAGTTTTAGTTTATTAACAACGCTTCAAATGCAACAAACATTCATTTTCAAGTTACAAGAAGCATTAAATATCGAAATTTTGGTGGAAATAAGTACATAATATACGTAAATAGGATTCTACCATAAAATTTTGAATCTGAAAAACCACTCTGAAAACCATTTCAAAGTTCAGCCAAATCCGGTAGTTAAGAAACATAGCAGGCGTCCAATCCGCAGAGACGATGAGGCCAACCATCTTCGGCCTTGATGATAATGCTGGTGGGTTCCTTCAGCACAATGCGAGTGAAGTTCTCATGGTTGACCACGGAAGTTCTGGTCGTGAGATTGTCGCGTGTGGTTCACTTGCCCTCCGGGTTAGAGGTAGCTAACGAGACAGCGTCTCGGTGTCCTGGTTGTTGATCCAAAAGTGTCCGATGTAGTCCAATAGATGAAGAAGTCTACAACCTTCTTTAAAGCAAAATTTATAGACTACAACGGCCTCTCGGATAACTCCCACGCTTTTGCAAGGGCCGTTATCGCGTTTAGTTCGGAGTTTGATGTTGTTGTCACGAAGCCTGTTAAATTCATCGACAATTTTGAGATGAAGTTGCTTGTTTGTAATGCTTTGAAGTTTGAGACCTAGTCTGGTTGTTAGATTGTCTCAGGTGGTAGGAGAAACGGCTGTTCAATGTTGTATTTAATGCTACTTGTAACTTGAAAATGAATGTTTGTTACATTCGAAACGTCGTTAATAAACTAAAACTACTTCCTGATATATGCCTTTCGCTCTACCAACGTCATCTGAAGAATTGTCCGACTCTTTGGTAATTTAAATAAACGAATTCTTTGGTCATTAATCGCACTCATTGAAAATTCCAATTCCACTGATCATTTTTTGAGTGTTCGTTTAAGAGCAAAAGGTTAGACTTTGTCCATTGACCATTTTGTACCCACAAGATCTCGCCAGTTATGCAATGCCAATAAAAGCGAGCTTCTGAACGTTTTGTTTGGAGCACATTATGTGCAATTTGTACCTTAAACAGAAGATTCGATGAAAATTTCGCCTCGCCCCATAAAAAGATGAGGTTCTAATGAACGCCAATATTGAAGTGATTTGTACGTACTTGGTGTGTATGCATTTTCAGATGGGAGCAATGACTTCACACGGTAAATAATAAAAAAGATCGAACTCACTCGAAGCAACTTTAAAACCCTAAATATTAACCCCAACAATAATCTTACGAAAGATATAGTATTACAAAGAATAAATCTCTTAAGTTTTCACAGGTACTCACCAACTGCCATAGCGAGTCTGCGAACGTTCAAAATGCTAATCGTTTGATTTTTTGTGAGGTGATCCATGAGGAGACTATGGAACAGACTGTAAACGTACATGATGGCGTAGGGCAAAGCGGAGAGCAGGCCGTTCTGAAATCAGAAGACGGAATTTAATGCGGGTGTTTAAACAAATTTTTTCAGAATATTCGATTTCTTAACTATCGTCGAGTGTTGATCATTTTTTATGACGTACAACATAGATTTCAAAATTTGATCAACATCAGCACCCTTTTAGAGTTAGTAGGTTATTATCATCTTCTGCTTATATTCACTTTATGTGTTTATTGTTATTCATAGGTAATCGTTGGGTAATGGTACCAAGCTGCAGCTCAAAGGAATTTCTGACTGCTCACGCTGCTGAGGTTGAAGTGTTGGATCCTGTCCAGGTAGGTAGGCAGCTCTGTGAGTAAGGTGTAGAAGACCCAGTTGTAGCCGAAGTGCATCAAAATGACCGACCACACATGCTTGCTAGTCCATATGGATTTCCATGGAGTTTTCTGTGACGTAAAGTAATTTGGAGTTAAATGTCCTCATTTTCTGATTAATCGTCTATGTCATCCATTATGTTTTATCCGAATTTTGAGTCCGAACCAAACGTGTACTGAGACACAAAACGAGTAAACGGTAGAGACTGCCGTACAAATTTGCATAATGATATAAAAGTACTTTTTCATTTCCAGTTGCCGACTTTCAATATTATTGAGACTTGCTTTCGTTGAAGTGGAAGTTTTGAGTTGTGCAATAGGCTTGAGGTATTCCAGCTCGTGTTTGGATATCCTGGGATGTTGCGCTGGATTATCGTAGACCAGAGGGAACCAAAACACGGACCAGACGACGCCCAGACTGCCGAACACGTAGAACACCGAAGGCCAGCCGCCCAGGAACGATGAGTTGCACATGAATCCGCTGGCTGCTAGCGTCACTACCGTGCCGAACTGCACTCCTGGCCAGCAGTGTGTTATTTTTTTAATAGTATGCAATTTATAGTTGCAACAATAATTATTGGATGCTGGAGGACTTGATTTATGCGGGAAGATTACGCTTCATATTTTATCAACGTACGCCATCGAACTTCTGCTCGTTAGGAGCCAAAAATAATTTTTTGAAAGAACTCAGAACTTACTCGGAGACAAATCCAGCTTTAAAAGTCATCCATCGCACTCACGGTGGCCTAATTGTTACAATTTCTTTCTTTTATTATAGTGGACTATTAAATTCAATGCTAATTTCTGTCTTATTTTACCACGTTTTTCTTGACTTCGTTTCGTGTGTGTCTGTCATCAAAAATTAAAACCTTAATTTAGAGCACTTCTAAACATCCTAGTAAGTTGAAATTTGGCATGCATGCTTATGCTGCCTAACAATTCAAGATTTGATCATCAGAAATAATAAATAATTTTTTTTTTATATTTTTTAAAAAATAAAAAAATTAAAATTCACGGTTTGGAATTGAGTTTTTTTTTCTCGAACATCCACACTTGCCAACCCTGCAAATTGATTTGAATTGCTAAAATTGCTAACTAAAAAGTAGAAAACAAATAAATGTAACAAATATTTTTAAAAACCACGTTTTTCTAGTTTTTACAAAACGAAAAATAGTGAAATAAAACAAAGAAAAAACTTAAAAAAACACGTTTTCTTAACGGACAAAAAAGAAAAACATTTACTCGATCTTACATAACATTACATAACATTTTACATAACTTAAATGTTATGTAAGAGTGAATGTTTTTCTTTTTTGTCCGTTAAGAAAACGTGGTTTTTAAAAGTTTTTTATTCGTTTTTTTTCAAGTAAATTTGAGCAAAATGTTCCAAACTATTGTGAAACGATGAGCCAAGAGTTCTAGATTTTACATTTTCAAAAAGATTTTTGAATGAAAAAGATGTTTGATGAAATATTAAATTAAAGTTTAAATATTATTATCTTGAATTTCGAATGAAAGTTTGCGATTTTATAGAGATCAATCGTATATGTCATACCTGCGTAGATGAATGCGGAATATTTTGATCTTTCTTCGGGCAGCACCCAAGCAGCGATCAGGGAGTTGGCGGAAGGGAAGCTTGTTGCCTTTCAAAGACAACGCGAAATAAGTATAGGAAAGCGAAATGAGTGTTACTTCTTGAATAATCCTGATTTTTGATTGATGTTATACATCTTAAAGTTGTGACATTATTTTTATTTAAAAAACCCACCTCAGTCATTCCCTCCAGTATTCTGAGAGCGATGAAAAGACCATCAGAAGTTCTGGCCGCCCAAGGCGTGAGCAACGTCAGCACCGACGTCAGCAAGATGCCCACACCTCCCACCAGCCTGCCCCCGAAGCGCTCAGCAGCGATGCCCGACAGCAGGTTGGTGCACGCGTAGCCGTAGTAGAACGAGCCCAGGATCAGACCCTGGGTCTTCTCGTCCCAATCAAACTCGCCTGGCTGTAGTTAACCCATTTAATGACAAGTCGAAGCAATAGGGTGGTGAGGTATTTTTATTTGAAGGCTAGACGAAGGCCATTATTGTGGGAGATTTCGAATTCTTACAGCGTAAAGGCACTATTTCTGTGTAGGAGATTCCTCTAGACTAGGAAGCTGAACTCGGGGCTTAACATATTTTTCCAGGCGGAGTTAAATGATATTTTCCGGATATTAAACTGTAGGTAAACTTTGTGTGACTGCTTATAATTACTCGAGGCGACCGCTTTTGTTACTGGAGGTTATCCTCATTGTCATCCTGCCTCGCTGGCCCGCGCGTAATTTCTTCTCTATATTTAGTTATAGTAAATCGGGATGCTATCATTATGTACATCATAAAATATGTGAGAATTGTGAAGCGGGATTTATCGTGGACCCAAATTCTACCCAATATGTCGCCTGATTCAGTTTTGATTTTTAAAGGAAATTTTCTTGGACTGGGAAGTGTGAAAATTAAACCATAGATTCAAGGTTTGTTCAAACTCGGTCTCAGGCAGCTGTGTTTTTTGTCTTTAATCACAATAATAAAAATATATTTCATCATCCCAGTGCCGACAACATATATAATGCAGCATGATACCTGGCTGTAGCCATCGTCCTGTCCGTAGTCGTCGGGCAAGGGGCAGGCGAGGTCATCGTCGGTGACGTTGGTGTTCGTGGTCACGTTCTTGGCGACCATCGCGACGATGGCGACGGAAAGGTTCACGCGCATGGCGTAGATCACAGCGAACCCCGTGAAGCCCATGAACGCGAACGTGTGGCGGGCTCCCCATATCTCTGTATTATGAAGTCCAGTAGCTATTTCAAACTATCGTCAGTCATGAAAATATCCGGTGAAATGACACGATTTTAGATCTTTTGTGAAGAAAGCACGAAAAGTAAAAGAATCGGCGACTGGCCAGCTGCGTTTCAATGCTGACAAGTGTAAAGTACTTCACCTCGGCAAGAACAATGAACAGCAAGATTACAACATGGGAAGACACGGTTGCAACGCTGTACACTTCAGCGCTGACATCACTAGTTATGTTATGTTATGAAAGTCCATCATAAACAAAGGACAATCTTCACTGGTGATATTGGTTCCATTTCTATCGTTTCATTTATAAATTGCTTTTCGTGGCAATAAAAATTATGTAAAGCTTTCCTAACAATTATAATATTCTTATTTTAAACAGTGGATTGATTTGGTGGTTGCTTTAATACTTGTTATCGTGATGAATTAGATACCGAGGTCTGTTTAACCATCTTTATTACGCACCTCATCTCAATGACGTGTGTTTCTTCAAAATCAAAAGTTGTTGATGCATATGGCATGAAATACGTGCAAGACAGAAATTAAAATTATTTTTTTTAGAATTAATTCGTATATGAACAAAATATATAGACAAAATCTCGTTAAACAATGGAAACGACTTCACTTGGCTACTTTTGTTTTATATATTTATGCAATCAGCCTACTTCTTACCAACTAACTTTTGTCTTTGCATTGATGAGGATTTTTTTATCGTGCTAAATGATGCATTGGAAAGTTCATCATTGGACTCGGAGTTGTGAAAATTATTTTGTAAGTCAAATATGTTGAATAAATGTTTGGTTACGCGTTTTTTTCATACTGGTAAACATGAATACATATTAATTTATATTTATTCGTTCAATTATCATCTTGTTCTTATCTTGACCGGATTATATGTCAACATTACATTTTATCTCTACGCGCACGAGCGCTCCAGTGCAATAACTGATAACGCATTATATCTAATTCGGCCAGGGTATTTCTTGTACATATCTCTTGGTCAAAGGTCAATAAGTCATTTTACCACAAACTACTGCAATAATGAAAAATTATTATTATGTCCCTATATTAGAAACTACTCAACAGACGTTTTGACATTGACAGTGACAGCTTCGAATCATGCAGAAATCAAAATGTAGGAAAGTTGTCACCCCTAAATTGTTCAAAATATCAAATACTGTACATAATTTAATTCATCCTGTCGAATTAAGTAAAAAGATTGTGTCATTAATATTTTCTAAATTTTCCCCATAGAAAAAAAGCAAATATTCTTTAAAATAATTAATGGGCAACCCACCTTTGGTTCCACCGCTGCTGTTCCCAGGAGGCGCGGATTGCTCGTCACGCAAACCCGTTCCTCCGTCAGAGCTAGCCAAACTTTTTCTATCATCCTTCATAGTAGCAAATTTAATTATAATCTTTTTACTTTACGATAAAAATAGTTATCATCAACTTTTATTTATCTATTTATTTTCCCATGACTGGCTTGCGCCCAATTAAAACGTAAATTTTGTTTGCGAGAGACGGTGGTAATTCGATCACAATAATTATACCTCAGGTTGAAATTATTTTAGTTATTTATTTATTATTATATTGAATAAATGATAAAATGTGTAATATTGACTCCATTTGCGGTTTTAAAACAATTCGAAAAACTGAAATTGGCTGTATACTTCAGGTATACATCCAACAAAGTGTTAAAAATGACTGCTTTGGCTGGAACTATGGTTATTTCCTCACTTCGCCGTGTATTATTTTCTGAAAGTATACATTATTGAAATGAAATCTTGAATAAAAAATAATCCAATTAAATGCTGCATCATTCTATTGTTATATTTACCTTAAAACAAATTATATTAAAAGAATTTGCGGACATCAATCGTCGGATTACACTTGACAATTATGGTAGTTGTGCTTGTATGGATCTTGCAATATTCATTGGAAGATGGTATTTCGTATCCAATAGACCGCCTACCGTCGAAGGCCCATATAAATTCTATATATGCCTCAACGTGGCATAGGAAACTTTCTTTAAAATAAATACTGAACGCGGCACGACATTCAGAATGAAGATTTGAGATGCAAATTTCGTGTATTCATCTTTTTTTTCTGGTAAACTTCTGTCAATTGGCGTGCCTATCACCTATAATTTTAGGAGCGGAGTCACTCCTGAAGGCTGTAGACACAGTGCAAATGGCCGTGATTTGAATTTTTTGTTGATTCATGTTGCATTTTTCGAGCTGCTTCAAGATTCATCTAAAAATATAACCATTGTGCACATTTGTAAACTTCACAAAATCAAAGTAGCGTAAATCACTAAAACACTACCGTATAAAGTTTAATAACAAAGGTATGTGTTAACGATTGAACTTGTCTAAAAAGTATGTTGCGAGGAGGTAGTTCAGATGCTGACTGTTATGACCGGAGGCGTCCTGCGTGTGATCAACGTAGCGACTCTCGATAGCGATAAGAAGACAGATCGATGTTATCGTATCCCACTTATGACAATTACAAATTGATTTTGATCAGTGAAAAGCTTATTAGGTAAGCGTACCTATCTCGTGACATGATTAGATAGCCTAACCATATATGTTGTTACTGTGTTTTGGATATGGTGTAGGTTTGCTCTGTCAACGTTGACATAATTTCAAGATTGATTATTGGGAAATTGAAATGAGCAAGTAACCTCTCTACTGACTATTAAAATTTTTTTAGGAGAGACAAATTTTGCAAAAATTCTTGCAGATTGTGAGGATTATATAGTTACGGGGTAATCTAGATAATTAATAAAGCATCTATGGCCTGAAATTAAATTAGTGCAAAAAACTAACGCCAATCGATCTTCTGGATGTTATTACATTTTCTAAAGAAGCAGAAAAATTTTGCGGAACGAAGGGACTGGTATTCTTGATACGCCTCAAGTCAATGACCCGTGGAAATGCCTATAATTATAATCAGTCAACGACCACAAGAGGCCCTTGCCTACTCGTCCGTTCATGGTAAATGAACAAGCAATTTATTTAGCTTGTGCTCAAGCTGTTGCGTTCAGAGTTCGCATAGATTGAAATAATTAAAGTAGTCCCCTATTACGTTACTTTATTTCATGTATTTGTTACCAATTACATCATATGTGAACTATCTGAGCCGTAATTGCGTAGAAACTTTCATCCTATTTAATTATAGAAAATGCAACCTGTATTTCCAAGCCTTAAAAAATCTTGCTTAAAACTCCTCGTATAAGAACGGCTATTTAGATATATTTTGGTGGAGTCTATAGGTTTTGGATAAAATTAAGCCTCGATCATTAGTGATATCCCGTCCGTTTCCGTTTCCGGGCCGTCGATCCCCGTCAGGGACTTGCCCCCCCCCAGGGTCCCACACCAGGCACGCCCTCTGGTGCCTCGCCATATTGGCGTGGGGGGGTGTTGGGCATCTCCCCTTGCGGCTTGACCCCACATTGCCCCCCGCCCCCTGGTGGATCCTTTGCCGCTCCAGGGGCCAACAGCTGCCGGCCCCGGGCGAGTCCCCCTTGCGCCACAGGAGGCAAACCACCGAGCAAGGTGATATCCCCGTTGTTATTGCACCGGCTTCATCCTACTCTTCAATGCTCAATAATTAAAGAGTTATGCGCATTTTTTTCAATCGTTTTAACACGTTAAATGCGGAACCATCCACCTGGGTTGCCAGATATGGCCTAAAAACGGCCAAGTACGCTGACAAAAAAGGCACATAATTCAATATTTACAGTAAATTTGTAGGTTCCGGGGCAAAAATTAAATTTTAATTTTTTTCGTACTTTTCAAAATGTAATAAGGAAGTACCGACATCATAAATTTTTTGCTGGAAAACACAATTTGAAAAAAATAAATCGCGGAATTTGTCCGGAAAAAAAGACCCTACAACCCAGTTTTTTTATTTCTGGAATGAATTAAATTAGGTTTTATTTACTTTTTCCTTTTTTCTTCGATTTCTGATTCTAATAATGTACATGAAAGCAACACAAAGTGCATTAATATCGAAAAAATAATAATCGATGTTTTGAAACTGGACACTTCTACAAGTCACTTCTCCGAATTGACTTAATCTCCGAGACCAAATTATGTCACAGTCCAGCTGCTAATCTCTACATAGCATCGTAGTGCTTGAGTTACAGTAGCCCAGTAGCCCCCAAAGCTGTTGATCAACTCAGCATCATAGTAATAGTATCAGTAAGAAAGATTCAGATGACCGTACGACCTGGAGAACTGAATCCTCGACAGCACATCGCAACTCGAAATATGAGATTTCTGAACTACCTGTATTTCATTGCTTGGCATTCATCAATGGTGAAAACCACCCATGACCGCCACATCTATTGTATAAGCCTCTAAAGCGCACCTATTCCTTTAGCACTGATAGCTTTTCATAATTATCACCGCAGTAGTATCAATAAGAAGCACCTTTCGAAGAAGTTTCGTAGCTTAACACTCTTTATTTCTTGAGAAATGACTCTGAAAATAACGAAATGAAAAATAATGCGTGTAAATGAAAAATAATGCTCCCTGCACTTGTATTAAGTCCCATGCAGCAAGCAGTCCACTCCAAACAATCTCTCAGCACACTCGACGCAGGTGGGCACACTCATTGCTTACTTCTTCGTCTCGTCACGGTGGCTGCCGCCCACTTAATCTTATTTCTTTTCAAGTTGCCTAATTCCTTTCAATGACCCAATAAAGAATTGTGAAGCAAATTTTCAGCGGCCACGGACGACTTAACTGGTGCTATTTCTGATGCATTGGGCGAACTCTTTCTGCGCTTCGGGACTTCTGACATAACATGAAGAATGTTCTGTCGCACAGAGGGTCTACCAGTACAATAGGCCCATGGACCTGCTATCCGCGTTACTCACCTAACCTTTTCTTCTTTCGTTGAGGTGAACTACAAAAACTAATGCGCAGTGCTCGAGAAAGCTTATTCATAATGCCTTGACTTTCCACCGGAGGGGAGAACCATCAATTTTTTTTTATTTCAAAAAGGCCTCCCACACTCACAATTCCAACAAAAATGGAATTAATTTTATTAATTAAAAACAGGGAATGGTTTCATGGCAATGATCAGGGCCCCGACCTTAACGCCTCTGATGGTGGCCTACACCGACTCCGAGGGTCACTGAGCTGTGACGCGAGCGAGGAGCGGGCCCACGTCGAACTTTTCTCTGACTGCTGTTAGGATGCTAGCTGCATTGCCTCTCCGCACAGCCAAACCCAACCTTTGCTCCAACCATAGAGTCTCTCTACGTTCGCCGGTCAATTCCGTAATGCGACGACCAATCTGTGATATTAAAGGACCTGTCGTTTCACCATAAGTGCCGTCGTTTCTAATGCGACTGGCTCGAAACGATACCGAGCTGCCAACGCCGCATATTTACGTCTCTTGCTTTCCTCCGCCGCACGAGCCGCGAACCCAGCAGAAATAGCCGAATTATTGGCGTGCGACTCAGCAAAAGTGTCGACGCAGGTTGCATCCCAGCACAAACACCTCCCATTAGAAAATGGGAAAACCGTTAAGCCATCTGGTCTCTTACCATCCCCTCTGTCCACTCCAACGGGTTCAAGGCATGAAGGAACGCCAGCGCTCTGAAGAGCCCTCCTGATCACATCGTTCAGAGCCGAGTGTCTTGGATGTCGCTGCACTTACAAGAAAGGCCATGCAGTCCTCGTGCTTCCATCCGCTTTCCGCACCGACAAGTGTGGGGTTCGCATACATTTGCGCCAACTCGAAGAGCAATTGAGACGCGGAAGGAGTCGGGATCTCCTGCGTTCCCATTGCGCCACTTATCCACCGCCATCTGCAAACTGTCGTCCTCGGCCAGTCGTACATTATGTAAAACAGCATCAACTAGGCCACGGACGGAGTGGAGTGACGATATGAATGCAGGGAGCGCGATGTCCTTTGACATACGGATACCCAGACCTCCCAGCCGGACCGGTAACACAGCTTGTTCAAGAGATTCGCACTCGAAGCTGACATTGGTGATGGTCGAAAGGGCAGAAACCAACACCTCATCGAACCGCTCCAAATCGCCTACCCGCGTATATATGCAGGAGACGCACACCATCACTTGTGCCTAATAAAACTCAATAAAAATTAGAAGCCATGTCTATGGCTCGTATATTTGATTCTATACTGTTCGATGTCTACTCGACTTCATCGGTACCTATCCTCGCCGTCTCTCGATATCTTAATAATCCCTTTTAATACGATAGTTAGCATGTCATGCCAATCATCGTTGATTTAAATAACTATTTATGTGCTATCACGAGCGTTCATTTTATTAGCGCAGTTTGGACTTCGATTTTCGGTTGATAACGGGCGAATGATCTGAAGCTCCGGAGGCGCGACTGCGTACCCTTACCGAATTATTCTGGGCTCCCGGGACGCATCCTAAAGGCCCGTTTACACTAGCGGCAACGACATGGGCGGTGAGGCGCTTGCTGCAGCGCCTCACCGCCCACAGCCGTTTACACTTATTTGTGCACGGTAGCTCGAGACCGCGCGCTTTGAAGATTAGATGCCAATTAATTAGACGCCAGTGGAGATGGATATAACAGAATTTGAGCTCTGGGCCATTGTTCTCGGGTGTGCTGCTGTTAAGATTTACACAAAAACGATTTACACAATTACATTTTCAAAGAATTATCAGTTGCGAATGCATCAGACTTTCAAAATTATACTGGACTGCCAGTGGACTTGTTTGACAGTCTGCTAAAGAAAATAATGCCACTCATCCAGAAGCAGGATGATGGAATTGAGAGGGAATTCACAATGAAACTAATTTCACGATGGAATTGCGAACGCAACGTATGAATTTTCTTACGAACCTCGTCAATGGTGACTTGTACACAAAAGTTTTTTAAAACTTCAACTATTTTCACCATAGCTTGCTCTTTTGCATTTCGAATTTTATATTCCTTTAACTGAACTCTCTGCAGGCAATCAATTAGCCTCTCTACTAGAGAGCGAGTCCAAACAAGTGTAGCGTTAGTTACCATAATGGAGGACCAGCTTATACAGATAACCTTACTAGAACACAGACAGCCGTCCACTGAGTGCGGCGCAATCCGGCGCTTGTGTTGCATGAGGCAGGGCGCCTATGAATCGCTAGCTCGTCAATCGCTGCGTTGCCCACAAGAAGCGCACGTAGAGGGGCTTTGAGGCGCTTGACGCCCGTGTGTTGCCCCTAGCATGAAGTGAATGTGCCTTAAGGGTTCACCATTTAATGAATAAATTACGTCCGTTGGTTATCGCTCTATGTATGTTTGTTCCTTTGAGTTGAACGCAGTTAGAAAGGAACAATTAGTTAGAACGAACGTTTGAATTAGTTAGAACGAACGCAGTTGCACAAAAAAAAAAAGAAATTCATAAAGCAACAAAGAATGACAGAGTTGTCTATGCCATTAAGCTCGCAAACCAGTTCTCATCCTCAAAGTATATTTTTAATACAGTAGAACAAAAAATAAAATGTTAGGTTTTGATTGTTACATAAATGTCATTGCACTAGGTTCTGCGAACGCGTTTACGCACATCCATGACTGGCTGAAAAATTCAGCCAACATCACGGCAACCTGAGTGCATACAGTGGTACTCTCATTAACGCCCTAGGCTTAAGGCTCAAGACCTTTTTGAAAAGCCATGACTCAGCGTGCGAACTGCTGCCTCTGACGATTATGAGACGATCTCCTCGTGCTCTACGCTTGCCTAGCTGTTGCTCTCGGAGCCTGACGCCTGCAACTTGAAAATAATCTTATATGCATTAGTGAATCACATGAACATTGAACAATTCATCGTGTAGATTTTTGCAAAATATATTGGGTTAGTTGTCAGTTTGAAGTCAATTTTTAGCTTATCTGAAATGACTGTGAGTTCTAGAATCATCACAGTAACTAATAGCAGCCGCTGGAAGATAAGTTTGTTTCGTTTTAAATCGAAACAAAATCAAAACTTTGTTACAGTTGATGACCGTCGACGGGGTTTCGTTTCTGCCAAGGATGCATCCAACTGCTCCAGTTTTTCAGTAAATATCACTGAAGATTTTCTGCGGTCCTCAAAAGCCTGTCGAGAATAGGATATGTCAAGTGCATCTATATAAATTCAAGTCAATTACGTATGTCATCGGCACGAACGTAATTTTACAGGCAGTAAGTTTACTAACAGATACATTTTAGCAGCAAATATATTGAGCTTTCAAGAAGTATGATTAAGAATTTAGTGACGTATACTGCATAATGTATTACGGTGAAGCCTGGAGTAATTTCATAAATAGACTATCATTTCATTGAATATGTTATAAATGACATTATGAGCACAGAAAACATTAATATTTGGATGAGTTCTTCTCAAGGGCTCCAGGCGAACAACTTAATTGTCATTTATCAATACCGCTTACCTAGTTCTTCTGCGTAGTTCCAAGGTTGGGTGTCAGCGCTGATGGTCAGGATATAAATCAGTGCCGGAGCTCCAGTAATTACCGCCGAAATCAGGAACACCGTCTGCCAGGCTGCCAGCGTTTGCTGCCCATATTTTAGAAATCATTTCTCATGTCGGTGATTCAGGTCATAATAAATTAATAAAATCATTCATTGTCGTGATATTGAGGTCGATTTTTAATTTTAAATTATAGGAGCACTGGAAATAGGTCCATACATACCTTCCATATTACGAGCAGTAAATTGTGACGCATGAAGCTTACTCTGGTCAAAATATTATTGGAAATGTATCGCAGGTCAGATTGTTGTACATGTTGTGTCCCACTATGAAGGACATCATATGAGTGAATTGGGTTGCATCACTTTTAGCGTTACTTTTTATTAGTACATCACTGTAGGTCTGTAGCGCAGTGGTTAGCGCCACTGTATGAGCAGTGATGGCAGCATCGAGATGAGAAGTGATAGCCAAGGGTTCGGGCCTTGGGAAACTCAGTTCATTTATCGGCGTTGCTGGTAGGCGGCGTTTGATCGCGGTAAGAAGGCCTGCATGACCTTGGGTTGGTATCTCTAAATGAAATCTGGGTACTTGTCACCAGGAGCATCTTAAGGAAAGTGACCAAAGTGAATACCACGCCCAGTAGGAGACCACGCCAAGGTGGGGAACCCGCAAGGGTGGAGACCACGTTAGGGTGGAGACCGCGATAGGATGGGGACTACGCTAGGGTGGAGACCACGCTAGGGTGTGGACCACGCCGAGGTGGAGACCACGTCAGGGCAAAGAGGAGACCACGCCGGGTTGAGACCACGCCAGAGAGGAGACCACACCACAGTGGAGACCACGTCTGGACAGAGGTCATGCCAAGATGGAGACTACGCCAGAGTGCAGATCACGCCAAGGTGGAGACCACTTCAAGGGGGAGATCACACTAAAGAGGAGACCTCGCCAAGGTGGAGACTACGCCAGAGTGCAGATCACACCAAGGTGGAGAGCACTTCATGGGGGAGAGCACACCAAAGAGGTGACCTCGCCAAGATGTAGACTACTTCTGAGTGCAGATCATGCCAAGGTGGAGACCACGTCGAAGAAGAAACCACACAAAAGAGAAGACTCCGCCAAGGTGTAGACTACGCCAGAGTGCAGATCACGTCAATGTTGAGACCACGTCAAAGAGGAAACCACACCAAAGAGAAGACCGCGTATGAAAGGAGAATGCGCCAGAGAGGAGACCACAGTAGTCCAGGTTTGTAGCTCTGTGGACCAGTCACACATTGGGCATCAACCACAAATGGGGCACCAACAACGACTGGCGAGGCCTTACACGACCGGGAGATGGCGAGAAATCTCCATCTTGACGGTGAGTCAACTCTGAATTATTGCAGTAAGTGGCCATGAGTGTTGATCGGTGATCATGAGTTAGTTGCAAGCAAGTACCTCCACTGGCTCAGCGCTTCAGAACGGCACAACATTGTTCCACCAATTGGTTTGTGTTGTTCCGCGCTGACGTGGCAGCCGGGCGCAGCCGACAGCTGTCGATGGAGTTAGGTACAGCACACCTCTCCCTTTAGTGGTCAAAACAACACCCCAGCGTTTGATTTGAAATATATTGAACAATTGTTGACCAATCAATTTCCGAATCTATTTTCACCAAGTAGTCCTTGCACAATTATTCTTCGTCTCTAATTTCTGGCAATACATCTATAGAAAAGTCTGATGTTACCTTTTCGTAAAGTCAAGGAGAAACTCACGTTATCCTTGGTAATGGCCCCAGTTACAGCTGGGGAGACGAAGCCTGGGATGGTAGCGAAGGTGCCAGTGAGTCCTATGAGAGTACCGGCGTAGCAAGGTGCCAGGTCCACGTGTGAACAAAAGTGTCCCGAGTAGCAAGCGCCACACGCGCCTACTGCGATGCACAGGATGACGATGGCAAGGGTGCGGTGGCAACCCACGAAGCACATTCCGATCAGCGCCAGCATCGGTACAAAGCACGCTGCCGGCGACAACAAAAGTTTAATTTTAAGGCCTTACGTTAGCCCTGATATTTCAAAGGCCATAAGCTAGACTACCTCCGCACTGCTGATGGTCACGCCATTGCAACGTAAGACCAGGGCCACTGCTTCAGCCACTCCATCTTCCTGGATATGTAAATCTAGGATAGCCCTACTTCCACACTTTTCCTGACTCTCCATCTTGCAGCCAATGATCAGAGAGCAAATATCTTGCAGCCCCATTTCGATTTGTATGTCGAAATGAGGAAATGGGCTGCAGTATAGCTGGCTTCCATCCAGTAAAAGCCAGAAAGAAATAAAGGCCACAGTGGGACCTTCAAAAACAATTGATATCTCTCATTTGAGATGACAAGGGCATCTGCAGACTGCAAGGAGCACAGTTAAAAGAGGTGTTAAGCAACCCTCGTTACTCAAGACAATACATTGAGATTGGAGTGGATCTGGAACTTAGTGGAGTTAGAGTGCTGAATAAAATTGAGTTTGATTTGCACCATTGCTTGGAAGTGTTCAGTTAGCAGATGGAAAGGTAGAGGTGATCTAGAGAATTTTGACTGCTTATTTTTTAATTACTTCGGTTAGTGCTTCACGATTTCATTAAATGTCGAAATTTCGAGGGATTGTGATTTTCGAAAAACGTGATTCTATAGCATAAGATGGTTCAAAATAATATTGATATGGTAATATTTACTAGCTTTTGTACCATGTACTGTACATCAATCCCAGTTGGAACGTTGTTGAAACAGTATTGTTTGACACACGAATGCGTGCAACAATGGATGAAGATTTGATGAAGAATTTATGTGCATGCAATTTGATGCCAAATAATTTTAATTCGTTGTCAATTTAATAAATATGTATTGTACATGTTACTTGTATCTGGATGTTTACCGACGATTTACCACGTTGAAAAATCGATAGGATCGAAATCCGCAACATACACTTAAAACAATATTCTTACGAACGTCAAGGAACGAATCTTGTAGAGTTTCATAGGTGTAGTATATATGTATCTGAATTTTCGTGGATACTCACCAACTGCCATAGAGAGTCTGCGAACGTTCAAGATACGAATCGTTTTGTTTTTTGTGAAGTGATCCATGAGGAGACTATGGAACAAACTGTAAACGTACATGATGGCGTACGGCAAAGCGGAGAGCAGGCCGTTCTGAAATCAGAACGCGAAATTTAATGCGGCATTTTTTTCACACACAAACAAATTTGTTTTCAGAATATTTAATTTCTTAATAATTATCGAGTATTTATCGTTTTCTATGACGTGCATCATAGATTACGTAATTTTATCAACATCAGCACACTTTCAGAGCTGGTAGGTAGGTTAGTCGTCTGAAGCTTATATTCACTTGATGTGTTTATTGTTATTCATAGGTAATCGTTGGGTAATAGTACTCGGCTACAGCTCGAAGAATTTTCTGACTGCTCACACTGCTGAGGTTGAAGTGTTGGATCCTGTCCAGGTAGGTAGGGAGCTCGGTGAGTAAGGTGTAGAAGGCCCAATTGAATCCGAAGTGTACCACAATAATCGACCACACAGGTTTGCTCGTCCATATGGATTTCCATGGAGTTTTCTGTTACACCAACAAATGAAGAAGTATAACGGTGTTACATTCTGCCCAATTTGGTACTTGCAATAAATTGGAACTTTTTATAAATTGGTACTTGCTATAAATTGGTACTTGCTATAAATTGGTACTTGCTATAAATTGGTACTTTTTATAAATTGGTACTTGCTGTAATTTGGTACTTGCTATAAATTGGTACTTTTTATAAATTGGTACTTGCTATAAATTGGTACTTGCTATAAATTGGTACTTGCAATAAATTGGTACTTGCTATAAATTGTTACTTGCTGTAAATTGGTACTTTTTATCAATTGGTACTTGCTGTAATTTGGTACTTGCTATAAATCGGTATTTACTATAAATCGGTACTTGCTATAAATTCATCCCTTTTGTTTTATCTGAGTTTGAACACAACAAAACTCGAATGATTGGGAAACTAAAAAGAAGCTTATATAAAAAAATAAATGAATAAATGCGTTAGTTGTTGAATGTTTCTGGTTTCAAAATAAAAAAAATACTTACTTTTGTTGAAATGGAAGTTTTGAGTTGCGCAATAGGCTTGAGGTATTCCAGCTCGTGTTTGGATATCCTGGGATGTTGCGCTGGGTTGTCGTAGACCAGAGGGAACCAAAACACGGACCAGACGACGCCCAGACTGCCGAACACGTAGAACACCGAAGGCCAGCCGCCCAGGAACGATGAGTTGCACATGAATCCGCTGGCTGCCAGCGTCACCACTGTGCCGAACTGCACTCCTAGCCAGCAGTGCGATATTTTTTTATTGTTATAATATAATATTATTCTATTTTTATGTATATATTATAATATTTTTATTGTTATTTAAATGAAAGCTACCTGGAATTGAAGTTTGAAAATTTCAATTAATGTGCAACTTTTTCTATGAACTTGGCCGAATTTCTAATGCCATATGCTTAAATTGTAAATCTATTCCAGTTATTCATTAATGAGGCAAACCTGCAGTATATGGATAACAATCAACATATTTTTCAAAACTGAGTTGTCCAGCTATTAATTTATTTCATCATTTATTGCTAGATATCAAAAATACTGAGTACGTTTGGAGTTAGCTTTTGCACAACTTCCATCAGAAATACAGTCCCCTTTCATTAATATATTTATTATGATTCGATTACTACATTGTTTGATGATTCTCTACCTTTTATAATGGAATTTCAATTCCACTCATTCAGATGTGATAAAGTCACTTCTGAATTAGTGTTGTTAGTTTCAATCACTCTCATGATTTCTTTTCATTTCATCTACTTTCTTCTCAGCCACATGAACTGATTAAGGGGGGGGTCTACCCTAAAATTTTCGGATTTGTCATTTTCGGTTTTTAGTCTCATCTTAAAGCTGACATTCTGCCCTATCCAACGGTACCACTACCATCTATGTACGTTGATTTATGATTTCAGGACATTTCATGAAAGGGGGGCGGGTGGGAGAGTTCTTTAAGTAATTAGATAGGAACTAATTAGCTGCTGAGCTCTTTATATATAATGTCTACTTGAGTTGTGCTGCAGTTACGTGTTTAGTCTCATCTTAAAGCTGACATTCTGGCCTATCCAACGGTACCACTACCATCTCTGTGCGTTGATTTTTACTACGTACACGACACTTCATGAAAGGGGGGCTTGGGGTGAGTTCTTTCAGTAATTACATATGAACTAATTCGCTACCGCAGCACTACAAATGCAGTGTTTTTGTGAGGTCTGACACTGACTCAGTGTGCCTCCGGGCTTTGTAGGGAGAGGTGTACATGTAGTCGCTCCCACCATCCTTGAGTGGAATCAAGCTCCAGAAATGTTAAGTTTGGTATCTATGCTACATTGAGCGCATTTTGTGGTCCGCGCGGGACTTTGTCGCGCTCTCCTCAACATTCATACTTATTGTCACGGAAAACCTATCTCCTCCTAGAGTTTTGAAGCTACAGCGATGAGATATATACCATTCGATTCGTAAAGACCATACCTATCGAGTAACAAAGCCCTTTTTTAGATTTGTGCATAGTTTGGATTCATAATGGGGAGGGGGGAAAATTTGAAGAAAATTAGAAGAAAATGAGAAAAAAAACGGGAAAATGCGTATAAAAAAACTAAGGCAAAAATAAAAAATCGGGCTTCATTACTCGATTGGTATGGTCTTTACGAATGAGATGGTATATGTCTCAATGTTGTAGCTTGAAAACCCTAGGAGGATATAGATTTCTACGGTACCTCCTTTTTTGTCCGTTTTCTATGAATTTCACGTTTTCTATTAATTTTTCCGAAAAAATCATACGAACAAAATGTGTGTTTTTTTGTCAGAAAAGATACGTTAGTAAATGTAGAAGTTTTCTGGAGGGTATAAACCCCCCTTAATTTACTAACAGATTAATAACGCGTTGTTAGAATTATTTGATAACAGTTGGCGATCACTTAGGAATTGAACAAAATGATATTGTTAGTAGGAATACGTTCAAATTGAGCACTTATTGAACTACATAGAGATCTGTATGAAAACACCCTTTGAAGAATATGATTTGCAGGATAATTAGATGTATGCTACGCAAGAACAAATTTCAGGTAATTGTTCAGTATTTTATATTCAATATTCTCTAATGTTTGTGCACAAGAATCATTATAGTATCGGGATTACCTGCATAGATGAAGGATGAATATTTTGATCTCTCTTCTGGCAGCACCCAAGCTGCGATCAGTGAGTTGGCTGAAGGAAAGCTCGTTGCCTTTCAGGTGAAAAGCAAAATAAATAAAATTAATTATTACTCAATAATTTATTAATACAATGATACAGCCCTCGGAAAAAGTTATTCAGTATACTACAAGGATATATTCGACGTAGCACGAGCTAGACCAAATCTGAAATTTGAAATCAATTTATCAACGCATAACGTAATAGCCCGTTTCGGCATGCTCCAAAGCTCATCCACTAAAACTAAAATTTTTATCCAGGTGTTACCTGGACATGATGAGTAACGGGGATACAGACTCGAATTTTCGCGACTCAAACCTGAAAAAACCGCCAACGTTACACGCATTCTTGCTTCATTTATCAGTAATCGTTTATTCTTCACCGAAGTCATTCCCTCCAGTATTCTGAGAGCGATGAAAAGACCATCAGAAGTTCTGGCCGCCCAAGGCGTGAGCAAAGTCAGCACCGACGTCAGCAATATGCCCACACCTCCCACCAGCCTGCCCCCGAAGCGCTCAGCAGCGATGCCCGACAGCAGGTTGGTGCACGCGTAGCCGTAGTAGAACGAACCCAGGATCAGACCCTGCGTCTTCTCGTCCCAATCAAACTCGCCTGGCTGTGCAAGGTTAACATGTTTAAGTTCAAACTAAAAAACCTCGGTTGTGGAGGTGACATATTGGCTGTTGCTTGTTGGTGTCTTAAGGGGAGTGTCTGGCCAAAATTTTAGAAGTTTTGCTTTTCGGGTTTTTAGTCATCTTAATGCTGACATTCTGACCTATCCAACGGTACCAATACCATCTCTGCACGTTGATTTATGCGTTCACGACAGATCGCGAAAGGGAGGGGGATGGTGGAGTTCTTTCACATTTAAGATAGGCGGAAGTTCCCGGTAGAACACTTAGATAGCTAGTCCAAACACGATGTGCTTCAGTTATCCACCTGCAGTCAACTGGAAGGTTTGCGAGACGTCGTTCACACCATCCTTGACAGGAATTGAGCTCCAGTATCGCCTAGTCTTGCATTCTTGCCATATTGAACGCCTATTTCGAGGCGCCCGGGATTTTGTCAAGCTCTACTGAAGTTTAAGTTATTGTCACTGCAAACCTATCTCATCCTAGAGTTTTGAAGCTATGACTATGAGACATATACCGTTCGATTCGCAAAAAAAAGATCTACAAACTATCGTAGGCGTTTTTCTAATTTCGTTATAGTTTGCATTTTTTTCGCAAAAAGGGAGGGTGGCAGGGGGTAAAATCGAAAAATTTTCGAAAAAGTTACGAAAAATACCCCCACACCCACAAAAATGAGAATTTCAAAAAAAGCCTATGACATTTTATAGATATGGTCTTTACGCATCGAATGATGTGTCGCGATGTTGTAGCTTGAAAATCCTAGGAGGAGATAAATTTCTACAGCACCCCATTTTTTGGCCGTTTTCTATGAATTTCACGTTTTCGTTAATTTTTTCGAAAAATTCACACGAATAAAAAAGTTTTAGAATTCTATTTTACATATATGTACCAAGTTTCAAAGTGATCCATCCGTAAATAACCCAGATAAAATTTTGGCCAGACGCTCCTCTTCATACCGCCGTATGTCACTCTCCAGGAATATAATTTTCAACTTAAATTGCTTGTAAGCTATCGAGTGTAGCAACCTGAGGAAGTTTGTGCGCAACAGAGAACATTTTAAAGTTGTCGTACATGGCGGCAACCTTCTGTGCAAGTCATTTTGCGCTCTTTAGAACGTATCCTTTTAAGGAAGTAGGCTTGTGACAATATTACTGATCCGGTTACTCATATCAGGCGGTAGGGGGTTACTAATTTGTAGATTAAGTTTCATTGCCATAAGAGAATGGAGTTCCAAGGTTACATTAAGTTCCAAGGTTACACTTAAGCTTCAGGGCTTGCAGATTTGTGAATATTTGATTGCAAGAGCAAACGTGTCTGTTACTTAGGTCATACATATTTAAAACTTTCCCTCCAGATGTTTAATCTTTAACTGGCATCCTCGCTTCGCACCATTTCCATCACTAAGATGGTTCATCGAAATCTGTCAATCTAATAAGGTAACCTATGACCCTCAGTGATTGATAAGCTTATATTGAATATTCTGTAGAGGAAACAAGTAAGCATAGGCTGCAGTGTTTGAATTTTGTCAATCATCCACTTCTCAGGCAGCAATTATTTGTGTCCTTCAATACTATCATTCACAATATTATTGATCTTCCGCAAAAATATTATTTTTCATCCTCGTCGCCTTCAACCATAATCCCTTATCGTACCTGGCTATAGCCATCGTCCTGTCCGTAGTCGTCGGGCAAGGGGCAGGCGAGGTCATCGTCGGTGACGTTGGTGTTCGTGGTCACGTTCTTGGCGACCATCGCGACGATGGCGACGGAAAGGTTCACGCGCATTGCGTAGATCACAGCGAACCCCAGGAAGCCCATGAACGCGAACGTGTGGCGGGCTCCCCATATCTCTGAATAATTTTTATTAGGTGCAACTCAAACACTATAAATTTCCCGTTGTTATTCCCTTTTGACTGCCCAAAATAGCGCTTTTCGGTTTTCAATTACGAATAACATAATATACATAGATATATATAAACCTTCTATTAGCACCAAAAAGCATTCGAGATGCACTTTATCACATTTTAGTGCTATTTTCATAAAAAAGAATGCAGTTGATTGAATTAATATTAATGTCATTCGTTTGCTTGCATCGCAAATTAACATATTTAAAAGCAAATTGCATTGTTTTCCGACCAGTCTGGTCTTTAACCAAGTCAAGAAATTCATGGTGAAACGATAAAATGAGGTTGTTATCAAGCGCGATAGTAGGAACGTTGATTATTGTTCTTTTCCATACTTCGGCTCTCCGTCAGAAGATATTTCAAGAGAATTAGAATGTACTTGTTCATGAAATACTTCCCAATCGTCAATCTTCATGTGTTGTTGGAAAACAATTCAAATAATCGGTTATTTCTTTAGATAGAAAGGCATGCTCCCTATTCATATGCGATCGTTCCTAGTTTATGAATATTGTTGTGTATGTACGATGTGCATCTGCGTATGTTTGAATGACGTCACGCAATCTTTATTCTAGTATCGCAGAGCACTAGGGCAGGAGTTATAGGTCTGTGGGCAGTTACTGTCGCGCAGTCCTCATTCAGATGGACACATTTACGTCGAGCAGTGTGATGTCTCTATATCTGATAGTGAATTTAAGGCGTTAGTTTACACTTAGAATAAAAGACCCCTAACCTAATCCGGTACCTCAGATCTGCGTATTTTAAGATCCTTGTTCATTTTAAACAGAGGTCCAGTTTGAATTCAGCGTTTAGCTCCTATCCACTTGAGATTGTGAATAGCTAGGTTTCGCAGTTTTTATTTCTGTTTTGTATTTTATTTTTGAATTTAGGTTTTAATTTCGGTTCATTGAATTTCAATTGTACTAATTTTAGATTTTATCTGCATTCTGGAATCTTTGAACTGACGAGGGAGCTGGACCCCGAAACGTTCTATATAAAGATATAGTGAACTTATGAGGAATTTTCTTTGCGTTTAAATTCCACGAAGTAAAAAAAATTGGAAACGATCATTAGGCTCAATTTTAAACGGGGAAAGTTATTTCATCTACACTAAAATTTTCACCTCCTATAGTAACTCTAAAATTATGTGTACGTTGCTGTATCAAATTCTTGTTGTTCGATTGGCTTGACTATCATTTAGTTTGAAAGCACTCACGTAATGAAGCATGAATGTATATTCTTCACATAATTTAGTAAACAAAAGCATATTTATCTAATCTAAGATAGGCTCACAGGTTGTTTTGCAAGATGTCGCTTCGCATATATTATTTATATTTTTGCATCTCTTTTTACATCAACATTCAGCTGATGAATTATTTATGAAATTGTTAATATACGTCAGTTGTCATGAGTAAACGTGAGTCTAGTACCTTAAATTTCAGCATAATCATGTAATTGGTTTTAATTAACTTTTTTACTCTAGAGCCAAAAATATATATACGCAATAATATGATCAACGTACTCATCATTTTATGCCTCATGAGTGTTTACTCGCACACTACATGCATTTTTTAAACTACTATCACCATAAAATGAATAACATTCTAACTGTTCTAAATGAGTCTAGTATCCCAAGTCATACTATACCAAGACATGAATGGGGCCTAATATTTTGTACAATTTATTATAATATGACACAAATAATAAAACACGAAAAAATACTTTATTCGATATTTTAAAATTGTTATTATGTTTCCATTTATCACGTTCAATATTTTATCTTATCTCATCTTATAATATCAACATATATCGTTTCTTCTCATATGTGGCATAGATTGCAAGAATATAGTCAACGTTATTTCGTGCAACAGAGTAAATTTTTACATTATTGAACATAAATTTATTTATGTACTTTGAGGCTCTTATCTCCTCTGCATTAGATGTCAAAGTCAAACTTTGCGTACACTTGTGCCCGTCATGACCGCTGATAACGCTGAGTAATAATCCATCAGAGTACAATTTACGAGAGTAATTGATAAAATTAGTTATCGAAAAGAGTTAATAGTTTAAATATAGTTTATAACAACTTATGAACTATAAGTGAATATTATTAAATGACAGAATATTTACACGTATTGTAGAAGAATTAAACAGTCAATGAAAGACTAAAAAATTATGGGACCTATAGAAGACAACAGTAAATTATTTAAAATTTTCACCCATACCTTGGCAGAATGTAACGAATGTATTAAAAAAAAATTTTTGACAAAAGGATATTTTGACAATTATAATTTCCAAAATTTGAATTGTTTTGAATTCCCAAAATTTTTTTACAAGAATTGATGTCTAAAACAGAAGTAATGTGAACTTCACCGTGAATTATTTAATTTGATTAGCAATCACCCACCTTTGGTTCCATCGCTGGTGTCCTCAGGAGGCGCGGATTGCGTTGCACGTAAACTCTTTCCTCCGGCTGAGCTCGCCAGACTTTCTCGATCATCTTTCATGGTACCTAATGTTATGACTCCCTGTTTGATTTTATTGATACTACTTGTCACTATCTATCTTATTTTATATATTATGTTCATGTTTTTTTGCGCTTAATAAAATTGACGCTATAAAGTAGGAGCTTCGGAATTAGCGGTATAATTCGAGCAAAATGAACGCTGATATCGAGTTGTAGCTTAAGATTTTGTACAAACGTTTAACTTTTCAACACAATTCTGATCTTCTGTATAATCTGAGCGCATATATAAATTATTTAACAACTTTTTCTCTATTTACCACAGGAGTCACGTGTTTGTTAGGGTAAGTTTGGAAGGATATGTAAGGGCGGCCTCCAGTTTACTACATCACGTGTTTATCAGGGTAAGGTTAGGAAGTATATGTGGGGGTGGCCTCTACTGTACCACAACAGCAGTACAGTACTTGTTTGTCAGGGTAAGGTTAGGAAGTATATGTGGGGGTGGCCTCTACTTTACCACAACAGCGCGTGATTGTCAGGGTAAGGTTAGGAAGTATATGTGAGGGTGGCCTCTACTTAATCACAACAGCGCGTGATTGTCAGGGTAAGGTTAGGAAGTATATGTGAGGGTGGCCTCTACTTAATCACAACAGCATGTGATTGTCAAGTTAAGGATGGAAGGATGTGTGAGGGTGGCTTCCAGTTTACTACACTACGTGTTTGTTAGGGTGAAGTTAGGAGAGAATTGTGTGGGAGGCACAGAAGCGACCGTTTTGACCGTACGAGGCTGCTGTGTGATTAGGTCTCGACTTACGATAGCGATAAGGAGGCGCGTGTTATCTATTTTGTGCTTGCGGCTTTGGTACTAATTATCCATGATTCAGAAAAAATAAGCTAAAATGACAAATCGCGTGAGATGATTAGATAGCCTAACGTTGTTGTTGGGGGTGGTGTGGCAACGAAGCAGGTGTGCAAGGTTCTTGATGTTAAAAGTTCTAAACATATGCGGAGAAAAACATTCTGAGCAAAGAATTGATTCTGGTGTTGATGTAACTTATTAAAAAAAATAAAGTTATAATTCTCGAAGTTGATTTTTACGATTCGATGGTGCATTTTGTTTAGGCATGAAGGTCGAAGAAAAATTAAGGGGAATAAATTTAAAAGGATATAAAAATCTACATGCCTGGCCAAACATTGAGTTTGGGCCAGAAGATACGGAAATAAGTTTCAAAGAATTAGCGACGTTCTCAGCACCAGGGCCGGATGGAATTCCGGCAGTGCTGTTGAAAGAGTGTGTTATAACTCTGAAGGCCCGTTCACAATGCTCTGGAAAGCCTCGATGATGGAGGGAATTATTCCTGAGGTCCTAAAAGTGGGACTGATAACGCCAATCCACAAAGGACGCTCGAGGGACAGACCTCAAAATTACAGACCAGTGACCTTAACCTCACAGGTGATCAAGGTTTTTGATAAGGTTGTAGCCAGGCGGTTTGTCCAGTACATGGAAGGGGCTGACCTGTGTAATAACTGACAACATGTTTTCCGACGAAATCGTTCCTGTTTGTCACAGTTACTGGAACACCATCACCGCCCTATGGCCCTACTGGAGGAGGGAGCTGGCGTGAATGTAGTATACCTGGACTTTGCTAAAGCCTTTGAGAGAGTTAACCATGGGGCGCTCTTCAGAAAGTTGAGACTGTTGGGGGTAGGAGGAAACCTGTTAGGGTGTATCCACAACTTCCTTACAAAAAGAGTACAAGCTTTCGCAACTAGAAACTTAAAATCGAGAGAAGCGAGAGTGAAAAGCGGAGTGCCACAGGGTTCGGTGCTTTGACCGATCCTCTTCCTCATCCACATAGCCGATATCGACTCAGAACTTACCCACGCATCTGCATCATCATTTGCGGACGATAAATGAGTGCTGATTAACATCACAGAGGACATAGCCTGCCAGAGGTTACAGGACGACTTGTAGACAATCTATGATTGGGCCCTAGTGAATAACATGCAATTCAACGGCACCAAGTTCAAAGTAGTGAGATACAGAGTTGGCACAGAGATCGGGATGCCACATCGCTACTTCGCATCGGATGACACAGAATTGAAGAGAAGCAACTAGTTCGAGATCTCGGAGAGTTGATGTGTACTGAAGCCACGTTCGGTGACATCGAGGAAATAGTTGCGCGACGGAGGCAAAGGATGGAGCGGATCTGGCGGACATTTCGAACAAGAGAAGCAGCGCCAATTATTACACTCTTCAGAGCCCTAGTGCTCCCCAATCTTGAATACTGCTGTCAGCTTTGGGCGCCGCTCAAGGCGGGTGCCGTGCGGAAACTAGAGGCAGTGCAGCGGACCTCTACGTACAGGATCAGCGGCATGAGTGAGCTGAACCTGAACTACTGGGAAAGGCTGAAACACCTGGGACTGTACTCACATGGAGAGACGATGAGAGGTATATCATGCTGTACACTTGGAAGATGATAACCAGGGGCCGGATTATCAAAACATCGCTAAGTACGCGTAGCGTCTTACGTGTGGCGTAAGTGCTGATATGAAGAAGTAACTCTAGCGGTGGTATTATCAAAACATTTGCGCGGGAAGCTACGTACAAGAAGCCATACGTAGCTCTACGCCTGCTCGGAGGTGTCGTAAGTGGAGTTACGTAGACGTTTTGAGTGTGCCGATGCAATATAAAACTATTGATTTACTTGCAACACGGTGAGTTGTGATAGAATTTTGTCAATAATTCAACATAGGCATAATATGTGAGCGTGCTAAACGGTGCTTTTTGAGAAAAAATGTCAATTAAGTTATGCCAGCTAATTTCTTTTCCTTTTGTGCTATAATTTGCAAGCAAATCTTGATATTGGTATCTAAGAGTTTTATGATCATTCATTAAAATAATATCTTCATGACTTTTTGATTCAAAACTAAGTGGAGTTTGACAAGCCAACCATTTTTCTAGCTACGTACACAAATTCCTTTCTTTCTCCGCTGATAGTTGAACTCCAACTCACAAAATGTTCTAAAGTCTAGGTAGCTCTCTAAAAAGTCCTCAAATTTTGAATGGGAAAAATGTAATTTTTTGCCTTGATTGCAAAAAAATTACAATTAAGGCGTTGTCATTGCTATTTGGACAACGTCTCACTTATTTCTCCATATGCTCCCTAGTCAGTCAACGCAGATGACGCTGACACAATACAACCTCCTTTCATCCACGCGCACTGCGCACTGAGTCGACAGGAGCTAGGAATGGCAAATTCGAAGCCTCTGATTGGTCAGTTAGTTGGATGGTTTCGATAATACCTTTTCAGATGAGTCTTGCGGAAGACAGTTTTGTTAATGTCAAATTTTGACTGACTTGATAAGTCAGTAACTTTTTGAACGTAAGTACGAAAAGTTACGTGTACTTAACGAAGTTTCGTTAATCTCTGCCCAGACTGGCTCCCAACTTTGAATGTGAGACCTCCAAAATTGTGACGTATTATGTCTAAAACGATGCAATCCATGTACATATGGCGTGACCATATGCAACGGCGTAGCCGACTTCTACCGGTCGCGCCTTAATATTCACTTGTGTTGTTGAAGTCGGCCTAGTCGGTCACGGTTCCGCGCTTCCTCAGATTTAGAAGCCTTCATTTAAGTCAGTGGTTCCCAAACTTTTTCAGGCTGGCGCCCCCTTTGGCTCCCTAGTGATTTGTAGCGCCCCCCACAGACACATATAAAATCATGCGCCTCTTTCTATAAAATTTAGTACGCTGCAATTTTAAAAGATATAGGTTAAACACGAATGTGTATTTCACAAATAGAACCCATTTTAGTGAACCAATATGTTTTCAGCCGTTTTAACAGTTTTGGCACTAGAAACCTAGGACGTCTCGGGCAAATTTACGGCCCGGACTCGTGGCCAGTCTCACGACCAATCTCAAAATTCAATTATCAAGTAATATCTCCCAAACTAATGAACGCAGCTCAATAAAACTTGGAACATGTATCCATCAGAACTTAACGGTGATGTTTAGCTTGCGAAAATTGTTTAAATATCACCTTCATTCGTGAGTTATATTGCGATACTGGCCGAAATTCGCAGTGATCAATGATTTTCTTCCAAATTACCTAACAGATTTGAACGGAATTTTGAATATACATTCCTAACTACCAAATGGTGTTTTTTAGATTCAAACAATTTTTTGATTTTACCGTCGTTTGCGAGATATATTTCATTTCACCGTTATTCTTGATTTCACTCTTCCTTATTCGCTTTCGTTCGCCAGTTATACAGATATAGGTAGGAGGAACGACCGGCTTTTCTACCGGCTGGTTTAACCAAGAGCCCTTTACGTATAGCCGGAAAACTCGCAAACGGAGGCAAAACGAAAAAATTGTAACGAGCTAAACATCACCGTTGCTGAGGTTAGGTATTAAAATACTAAATTTCGTTCAAATCTGTTCAGTAGTTTGGAAGAAATTTCTTGATTGGTGCGAATTTAAGCACGTATTGCTGTTTAGATCACGAATGAAACTCGCGAACGAAGGCACAATCGAAAAAAATTTTCACGAGCTAAACATCGCCGTTCGGTAGTTAGGACTGTAAATTCAAAATTTCGTTCGAATCTGTTCAGTAGTTTGGAAGAAATTCCTTGATCAATGTGAATTTCGGCCCGTATTGCCAAATAACTATGGCAAAAACAATTGAAGGCAAAATTCAAAAAATTTTCACGAGCTTTAAATTACCGTAAGGTCCTAATGAATACGTGTACCAAGTTTCATCGAGTTAAGTTCATTAGTTTGAGAGATATTCCTTGATCATTGAATTTGGAAATTGGCCGTGAGACCGGCCGTTAATTGGTAGGAGACGTAAACCCAGGAGAGGTTAAAAAAAATATAACTCAGGACTCACTGCAGTGAGTGACAGAGAGAGCATTTTCTTGTCGACGAAAACGTGAAGTCACGGACGGACAGACAGACGGACGGACATCGCGAGCACAATAGTGAATTTTTTCCATAAATGAGAAAATGCGCTAAAACAGATCTGGGTGAAAAAAACCATCGCTGGGAGTCATGTGCTGCACGTGTTGTGTACAAATCGTCAAACAAACGTTCGAACGTCTGACTTCGACTTCGGACTGCCGCCCCCTCTATCATCCCCCTATCGCTCCCTATCACCCTCTTCTTCTTTACCGCCCCCCAAAATCTTTCCATCGCCCCTAGGGGGGCGATATCGCCCACTTTGGGAACCACTGATTTAAGTGAATATATTTCACTATATTTAACCGTGAAATTTAAACTTTAGTTAATTTACATCCAAATAAATCTTTGATGGAAGCAGCACGATACAATTTGATCATGTGCCTGGTCGTGACGATTCATGTGGTTTCCTTTCAAATACTGCCAAACAGACAGCAACCTGTTCACGTATGTCCAGATATTTCCTCAATATTCCTATTCAAGCCCTAAACTTTTGGAATTCGAGCATTGAACTTGGCGGCACTTTGTCCGACGTTTGTCGTCCTGTCATCCGACGTCTGTCGTCCTGTCATCCGATGTTTGTCGTCCTGTCATCCGACGTCTGTCGTCCTGTCATCCGACGTCTGTCGTCCTGTCATCTGACGTTTGTCGTCCTGTCATCCGACGTCTGTCGTCCTGTTATCCGACGTCTGTCGTCCTGTCATCCGACGTCTGTCACATGACGTCTAGAGTCTGCTAGTAGCGTGGGACCTGCCCTGAGACTGGCGTGCGCCCTTAATAGTGGAGGTGAGCCATGTGAGTTGTCATAATTCTTGGCTCATGATCGAGGCGTACGTGCTGCTGTCCTAGTAATCCTAAAAGAATTTTACATCTGCAAAATTTGCGATAACTGTAGCTATAACTTGTAATTGTAACTTGTAACTGTAACTTATAACTATTACGGTAACTATAACTTATAACTATTACGTAACTATAACTTTTAACCATTACGATAACTATAACTTAAACCTATAACGATAACTCTATAACGATGACTATAACTGAAATTGATAACTGTATTAACTATAACTAAATTTAATACCGTAACTAACTTAATCCTATGCCTATGACTTATCACTATAAGTAACTGTGGGTGCTTCCACAGCCTTGGACCCGTATGGTGGTGGACGAGGCCAGTGCACCTTCCACGCTGTCGGAACCTAGACCTTTAGGTTCAAACCCAACAATAAATTTGTGTACTAGTTATTCAAATAAATATTAAGTTAAAAACCCACAATTCACTATTTTTTCCGCCTTCGTTTATGTTATATCACAACGAAAAGAGGGAGAGACTGTGCAGGATTCCCTCATTCAATAATCGAGCAGCGGCCAGAGTACAGACTCTTCGTGATATATCACTCCGCGTTAGGACCAAGGCTGTTTAACGCCTTACCAAAGGTGCTGAGAGACCGCCAAGGGGAGTTTACCCTTGCGATTTGCAAGAGACAACTGGATAAGTTTCTGATGAAGATCCCGGATTGTCCAGTTATGGGAAATTACTCTTAGCAAGTGACAAGCAACAGTATCTTTCATCAGCTGGCCCAAAGGAGGACAAATAGACGGAACACGTCCAACGTTGCATCCGGGATCCGAGGGCGGGGTGACCTGCCTAGCGACGACTCGGAGACGGAGGACGACGAAGGCGGAACTCCAGCTTGACCTTGCACTACGAAGTCCTAAATTCATCATAAGGTCTTCACAATAGTTTCCACAATGTGCGATGTCATTGACAGTTTAAATCACTAGAGACATTTATAAAGACAATTTCCTTTTTTGCAATTAAATATCAGGTGGCAATAATTACCATAAATACTTAAGAGCTTCTCTGCTTCTTACCTTAATATTCATTGTGAAAAAAGACGAAGAGAAAATTGAGAAAAGTAGAAAAAATTAAATTAAATTTTACTTAATTTTTTCATTTATTTTTCTTCGATTTCAGATTATAATCCTGTACATTAAAACAGGGCAAAGTGCATTATTAACCGAAAAAATAATAATAGGTGCTTTGAAATTGGACACTTCTACAAGTCACTCCGAATTGACTTAATGTCTTAGATCAAATTCTATTGCTATCAGTGCTAGAACACCTATTGTTCTAGCACTGATAGCTTTTCATAATAATCACCGCAGTAGTATCAATAAGTATCTTTCGAAGAAGTTTCGTAGCTTAACACTCTTTCTTTCTTGAGAAATGACTCTGAAAATAACGAAATGAAAAATAATGCGTGTAAATGAAAAATAATGCTCCTGCACTTGTATTAAGTCCATTGCAGCAAGTAGTCCACTCCAAACAATCTCTCAGCACACTCGCAGGTGGGCACACTCATTGCACACTACTTTTTCGTCTTGTCACGATGGCTGCCGCCCACTTGATCTTATTGGGTCGCCTGCCGAAAACCACAACTTCCCTGGATGTAATGGACCATCATGATTTCTGCCTTCCGGAACGTAGCCTTCAACACTTCTGGACAATCATATCTAGGTCGTGCGTCGAACCAGCCCTCAGTAGAACGGCCACTCGTCGAAGGACGATAAATTTTGGAGCAGAACTATACTTTCTGAAACCTAACCCCAGATGCGGTGAACGTAAGATTACGTAATTTAACGATGCCCGGAAGTCATATTCGATCCGCGGCCTGGTGGTGCATGGCAGGTTCTATGCAAGACCGGAGGAGGACAACGCCGAGTGGTTCACGGCTGATTGGTGGATGTCCGTAGAGATCCAAGGCGTTCGATTCAGGGCTCGTTGGTGCACAAAATTGGTGGTGCACGGCTGCGCTCCCATCTTATTTCTGCGACGAACTCTGAGACAAACTCTTTCTGCGCTTCAAGGACTTCTGAAATGACACGAAGAATGTTCTGTCAGTACAGAGGGAGTACCAGTATAATGGGCCCACGGACCAGCTATTCGCGTTACTCACCTAACTGGTTCTTCCTTCAACGGAGGTAAACTACAATAACTAATGCTCAGTGCTCGTGAAAGCTGATTATATTGCCCTGACTCTCCACCGGAAGGTAGAACCACCAGTTTTGCCTGGAAGGACTCAATGAAAATTATAAGCCGTGTCTCTGTTCTGTATATTTGATTCTATACTGTTCAATGTCTGCTCGTCTTCAGCAGTACCTATCCTCACCGTCTGTCGATATCTATATAATCCTTTTTAAAACGATCATTATAGCATGGCCTGCAAATCATCTTTGATTAAAATAATTATTTATGCACAAGGATGAGCGTTCATTTTATTTGCGCAATTTGGACTTCGATTTTCGGTTGATAACGGTCGAGCGATCTGAAGCTTCGGAGGCGCGACTGCGTAACTCCACAGAGCTTTCCTCGACTCACGGGATGCAACCTAAGGGATCTTCATTTAACGAATAAATTACATTCGTTGGTTGTCGTTCAATTTTTTTTCCTCTCAGTACAAAACGCATATTAAAATTTGTACACATCTTAAGATTTGAGGCAATTGTTTAATAATCACACATATTGTCGTATGTGCGCTTTTAAGGCATGCCAAACGTATACTGAAGCTTGCTTGCTTGCTTTGTTGGAGGTGTCGTATACTGAAGCAGTTCAAACGAACATAGTAGTACAGAGAAAAAAAAAAGAAAGAAAAAAAGAAAAGAACTTAAAAATAATCTTATATGCATTAGTGAATCGCATGAACATTCATCGTGTAGATTTTTACGAAACATAAAGGGTTAGTTTAAAGTTTGAAGCCACTTTTTAGCTTATTTTAAGTGTCTGTGAGTTCTAGAATCGTCGCATGAACTATTAGCGACAGCTGGAAGATAAGTTTGTTTCGTTTTAAATCGAAACGAAATCAAAACTTTGTTGCAGTCGATGACGGTAGACGGGGTTTCGTTTCTGCCAAGGATGCATCCAACTGCTCCAGTTTTTCAGTAAATATCACCGAAGATTTTCTGCGATCCTCCAAGCCTGTCGAGAATAGGATATGTCAAGTGCATCTATAAAGTTAAGTCAATATTGTCATCGGCATCAACGTAATTTTACAGGCAGTAAGTTTACAAACAGATACATTTTAGCAGCAAATATATTGAGCTTTCAAGAAGCATGATCAAGAATTTAGTGGCGTATACTGCATAATGTCATGATGAAGCCTGGAGTTCTTTCATTAAATAGACTATTATTTCATTGAATATGTTATAAATGACATTATGAGCAAAGAAAATATTAACATTTGGATGAGTCCTTCTAGGGAGCTTTAGGTGAACAACTTAATTGCAACTACCGTCTACCTGGTTCTTCTGCGTAGTTCCATGGCTGGATGTCAGCGCTGATGGTCAGGATATAAATCAGTGCCGTAGCTCCTGTAATTGCGGCCGAAATCAGGAACACCGTCTGCCAGGCTGCCAACGTTTGCTGCCCATATTTTTAAAATCGTCTCTTATGTCGTTGATCCAGATCACAATCAAGTAATAAAATAATTCGTCGTCGCGATATAGCGTTTAATTTTTATTCTAAAATTATACAAACACTGGAAATAGGTCCATGTATTCCGATTTTTATATTATGACGCATGAAGTTTCCTCAGGTCAAAATAATATTATAAAGGTATCGCAGGTCAGATTATTGTGCGAATTTGAGGGACATCATGTGAGTGAATTGGTTTGCGTCACTGTCGCACAGTTGTTAGCGCCACTGTATGTGCAGTGATGACAGCATCGAGATGGATCTTGTCCAGTGATGACAACACCGAGATGGATCTTGTCCTGTGTTGACAACACTGAGATGGATCTTGTCCAGTGATGACAACACCGAGATGGATCTTGTCCAGTGATGACAACAGTGAGATGTTCGAGCCAAGGCAAGCTCAGTTCATTTATCGGTGTCGCTGGTTGGCGGCGCTTCATCGCCGTAAAAATACCGGCATGACCTTGGGTTGGTGTCTCTAAATGAAATCTGGGTACTTGTCGCCTGTAGGATCTAAAGGATGGTGACCAAAGTGAAGACCAAGCCAACTCCATGCCAAGGCGGAGACCATGCCTAGGTGAAGACCTCGCAGGTGGAGACCACGCTAGGGTGGAGATCACGCTAGGTTGGAGACCATGCCAGGGTCAGGACAACGCCAGGGTGAAGACCACTTCAAGGAGGATAGCCTACCAAAGACATGACCCAACAAAGGGGGAGACTACGCCAGAGTGCAGATTACGCCAAGGTGAAGAACACGTCTAAATGAAAACCACACCAAAGAGAAGACCATTTCAGGAAGGAGTCCCCGCCAGAGAGGAGAGCACACTAGTTCAGGCTTGTAGCACTGGGGACCAATCACACCTGGAGCACCAACCACACATGGGGGACCACAGCAACTGGTGAGGCCTTACACGACCGGGAGATGGCCAGAAACCTCTATCTTGACGGCGAGTCAACTCAGAATTATTGCAGTAAGTGGCCACGAGTGTTGATTGGTGATCATGAGTTAGTCTCAAGCAAATACCACCACTGGCTCAACGCTTCGAAACTGGGCAACACTGTTCCACCAATTGACTTTTGTTGTTCCGCGCTGACGTGGCAGCCGGGCGCAGCCGACTGCTGCCGCTGGAGTTAGGTACAGCTCACCTCTCCCTTTAACGGTCCAAACAACACTCCAGCGTTTGATTTGAAATTTATTGAACAATTCTTGACCAATCCATTTCCGAATCTATTTTCTATTACCAAGTAGTCCGTGCGCGATTATTCTTTATAGTTCCACCAGAGCTGGGCAGCGCTACTTGGAAATGTAGCGGGGCTACCACTACCGCTACATGCTCTAAATGTAGCGGGCGCTACCGCTACCGCTACACCCACTATATTGTAACGGGCGCTACCGCTACAGTAAAATGTAGCGCGCTACATTAGCCGCTACAATGGCCGAAATTATTGGAAATCTCTAAATATTTATTGTTCTGCTATTGGGATTTACTCATTAACATTTAATGATAATAAAACATTTTTAAAACATATCAATGCAACTTTATTGCAATTAACCTAACCGAACTAGTATGGGTTACCCCAGGGTTAGATACAGTAAATAGAAGTTACAGTTATTTTTATGTTTTACCTTCCCTACATGGATGTGAACTTTATTCTACCAATCTAAGAAATTATCCACATATACATATAAAAATCAGTCTTTTTTATATATATGTGGATTATTTTTGAGATTGGTAGATTAAAGTAGACATCCATGTAGGGAAGGTGGATCATAAAAATAACTGTGTAAAAATAACTGTAAGCAAACTGAAAGATGAAAAAACCTGTAAGTGGTAACTGGTAACAACTTAACAAGTAACAACTAACATGTTGACTCTAGTAACAGGCTGAGGTTGACAACATTACACCGAAATCTTTCGTACAGTTTTATTCTGTAATTTAAATTATGTATGTATCATGCTGGTTTTTAAATAATATTTAATACTATTAAGGGGACCGGCTACCCTAAAAATCGGAAATTTTGGCTTTACCGTTTTCTTGACTCATTTTGTAGCTGCTGAAAAGGCGCGTCTAACGCAGTTTACCGCATGTCTGTGCGTGCTATAATTTTGCGTAAGACAATTTTAAATATATATATATGAACATTTTTTAACAATATGTACAAAGATTTATTTGAATTAAATCTGTATATATATGTAGATCATTACTCTCGTTAATTACAAAGTGTTTGCACTCGTTTGAAAGCTACAAACGAGACGCGTTCAACAAAGCTACTACCATAGATGTACATGCAATACTTTTTTGTGTAATGCAGTCTTGAACTTTTATAAAATGATCATTTTATATCATTAATTACAAATAAATGGTATTTATATACCATATTATTTAGGTTAATTGCAAAGTGTTTGCACTCGCTTGAAAGCTACAAACAAGATGCGTTTAACAAAGCTACTATCATGGATGTTCATGCAATAGTTTTTGCGTAATGCAGTTGTAAAGTTATGTAAAATGAATATTTTATATATATATATATTTATCTATAAAAAGTCCCATTTATAGCCTATTATTCACGTTAAATTGAACATAAATAGGTCTAAAGACGCGTGCTGGTACCTTGAATGCAAATAATTGGCAATGGGAAAGCTTGGGCTACAATATCAAGACTTTTTGGGCATATTCTTCTGTTTTCAATGAATTTTACTTTATTTGGCTCCCCTGAACAATTTAAAAATCCAAAAAACGCCATCTTAAAAAAAGTATAACTCCAACAGTTTGCAAGCTACGGCAATGATAGACATACCATTCGATTTGTAAAAACAATACCTAGCGACTCTAGAAGCCTTTTTTTAATATGTGCATGTTTTGACTTATATATGGGAGGGAGGAAGGTGGAGGGGTAAAAATGTGAAAAAATGGGAAGAACGCGAAAAAACGATGAGGACAATAAAAAATCGTGGCTCTACAGTCGCTAGATATTGTTGTTACAAATCGAATGATATGTGTCTCGAAATTGTAGCATGTGATTTGCAAAAGTTATAAACTTTTTTAGAGTACCCCTTATTTGCCGTTTTCTATTAATTTCACGTTTTCTTTCATTTTTTAAATTTACATGAAGAAAAAGGTCTTAGATTTCTGTTTTACATATGTGTATCAAGTTTCAAAACGATCCGTCTGTAAACAAAAAAGTTTTGTTGGAGGGTAGCCGGTCCCTTTAAGTAAAATCTAAAGGCTTTATCCATAAATGTAGCGGTAGCGCTGTAGCGGCAAAACCTCGTATCGCTACTTAAATATGTAGGGGGCGCTACCGCTACCGCTACCGCTACATTGCCTTAAATGTAGAGCCGCTACCGCTACCGCTACTGAAAATGTAGCGGCCGCTACATGTAGCGCGCTACTGCCCACCTCTGAGTTCCACTTAGATTAGTCTTTCAAATTTCTGGCAATACATCTGTAGAAAAGTCTGATGTAGCCTTTTCGTAAAGTCAAGGAGAAACTCACGTTGTCATTGGTAATGGCTCCAGTCACAGCTGGGGAAGCGAAGCCTGGGATGGTACCGAAAGTGTTAGTCAGTCCCATGAGGGTACCGGCGTAGCAAGGTGCCAGGTCCACGTGTGAACATAAGTGCCCCGAGTAACAAGCGCCGCACGCGCCCACTGCGATGCACAGGATGACGATGGCAAGGGTGCGGTTGCAACCCACAAAGCACATGCCGATCAGCGCCAGCATCGGTACGAAGCACGCTGCCGGCGACAACAAACGTTTAATTTTATGGCCTCACATAAGTGCTGATATTCCAAAGGCCATAAGCTAGACCAGCTCCGCACTGCTGATAGCCATTGCAACGTTAGACCAAAGCCACTGCTTCAGCCACTCCGTCTCCCTTGATATGTAAATCTAGGATAGCCCTGCTTCCACACTTATCATGACTCTCCATCTTGCAGCCAAGGATCAGAGAGTCAATATTTTGCAGCCTCATTTCGATTTGCATGTCGAAATGAGGAAATGAGCTGCAGTAGCTGGCTTCCGTCCAGTAAAAGCCAGAAATAAGGGCCACAGTGGGCCCTTTAAAAAACAATAGATATCTCTCATTTGAGATGACCAGGGCATCTGCAGACTGCAAGGAGCGCAGTTTAAAGAGGTGTTAAGCAACCCTCGTTACTCAAGACAAGACATTGAGATTGGAGTGGATCAGGAACTTAGTGGAGTTAGAGTGCTGAATAAAATTGAGTTTGATTTGCACCATTGCTTGGAAGTGTTCAGTTAGCAGATGGAAAGTGTATTGGCGAACTAGAGAATTATGACTGTTCAATTTTTAAAATTATTTTTGTTAGTGCTTCACGATTCCTTCAAATGTCGGAATTTCGAGGGATTGTGATTTTCGAAATACGCGATTCTATAGCGTTAGATGGTTCAAATATTGATATGGTAATATTAACTAGCTTTTGTACCATGTACAACGATCCCAGTTGGAACGTTGCTGAAACTGTATTGTTCGACGCACGATGCGTGCAATAATGGATAAAGATTTAATGAAGAATTTATGTTCATGCAATTTGATGCCCAATAATTTTAATTCGTTGTCGTTTTAATAAATAAGTATTGTACGTGTTACTTGCATCTGGATGTTTACCGACGATTTCCCACGATAAAAAATCGATAGGATCGAAATTCGAAGCATACCCTTATTAACAATAATCTTTCAAACGACAAGGAACGAATCTTGTAGAGTTTCATGGGTGTAGTATAAATGTATTTGAGTTTTCATGGATACTCACCAACTGCCATTGCGAGTCTGCGAACGTTTAAGATACGAATCGTTTTGTTTTTTGTGAGGTGATCCATGAGGAGACTGTGGAACAAACTGTAAACGTACATGATGGCGTACGGCAAAGCGGAGAGCAGGCCGTTCTGAAATCAGAACGGGAAATTTAATGCGGTATTTTTTCACGCACAAGCCAATTTTTTCAGAATATTTGAATTATTAAACATTATCGAGTATTGATCATTTTTTATGACGTGCATCTTAGATTACGTAATTTTATTAACATCAGCACACTTTCAGAGCTGATAGGTTAGCCGTCTTCTGCTTATATTCACTTGATGTGTTTATTTTTATTCATAGGTAATCGTTGGGTAATAGTACTCAGCTACAGCTCGAAAAAATTTTTGACTGCTCACGCTGCTGAGGCTGAAGTGTTGGATCCTGTCCAGGTAGGTAGGCAGCTCGGTGAGTAAGGTGTAGAAGACCCAATTGAATCCGAAGTGAATCACAATAATCGACCACACAGGTTTGCTCGTCCATATGGATTTCCATGGAGTTTTCTGTTACACCAATAAGTGAAGAAGTACAACGGTGCTACTTTCCACCCAAATTGGTACTTGCTATAAACTCATCACTCATTTTTTGTCTGAAGTTTGAGCATAACAAACTTTGAATAATTTTGAATCTAAGAATGAAGTCTCTAGATGAAAAAAAACAAATGAATAAAATGCGTCATTTGATGCACGTTTCTGGTTTCAAAATCAAAGAAAATTATCAAGACTTACTTTTGCTGAAGTGGAAGTTTTGAGTTGTGCAATAGGCTTGAGGTATTCCAGCTCGTGTTTGGATATCCTGGGATGTTGCGCTGGGTTGTCGTAGACCAGAGGGAACCAAAACACGGACCAGACGACGCCCAGACTGCCGAACACGTAGAACACCGAAGGCCAGCCGCCCAGGAACGATGAGTTGCACATGAATCCGCTGGCTGCTTTTGGTGTCCGGTAATGTAGTTCATTTATTTTCGTGTCCGGTTTTTAAGTACAAACTAATTGCGTTTTGGAACTACATTACCGGACACCAAAAAAACGCCAACCTCGTTAGGTTAGGGTTAGAGTTAGGGTTAGGTGTGTCTAAAAACCTTCTTTAGGTTGCTAGAGACCGTTTTACTGAGGTTAGGTCCAGCCAGGTCAAGTTTTTTTTATATATTTTTTGCAATTTATGAAAAAAAATAATTAAAGTCCGGTAAAGTGGAAATATAATATTTTTAGTGTTATTTAAAATGAGAGCTACCTGTAATTGAAGCTTGAAAATGGCAATTAATGGGCAATTTCTTATGAACTTGGCCGAATTTCTAATGCCATATGGTTTAAATTGTAAATCTATTCCAGTTATTCATTAATGAGGCAAACCTGCAGTATATCGATAACAATCAACATATTTTTTAAAGCTGTGTTTCCATGCCATAAATACTTTTCATTATTTAGTGCTATTTAATTTATTTAAAAAGAATGACTATATTAGGAGTTATCAGTTGCACAACTTCCAACACAAATAATATTATGTCCCGTTTTATTACTATACTTATTATTACCCGATAGTTAAATTGTTTAATTATTCCTTAACTTTTATGGAATTTTCATTCCATTCATTTAGATGTGATAAGTCACTTCTGAACAATTAAATGTTGTTAGGTTTAATCACTCCCATGATTTCTTTTCATTTCATCTACTTTCTATTCAGCCACATGGAACTGAATAATTTACGAACAGATTAATAACGCGTTATTCGAATTATTAGATAACAGTTGGCCATCTCTTAAGAATTGAACAAAATGATATTGCTAGTAGGAATACGTTCAAATTGAGCAATTATTGAACTACATTGAGATCTTTATGAAAACACCCTTTTAAAATACGATTTACCGGATAATTAGATGTATGCTGCGCGAGAACAAATTTTAGGTAATTGTTAAGCATTTTATATTCAAAATTCTCTAATGTTTGTGCACAAAATCAATATTATCGGAGTTACCTGCGTATATGAAGGCTGAATATTTTGATCTCTCTTCTGGCAGCACCCATGCTGCGATCAGAGAGTTGGCTGAAGGAAAGCTCGTTGCCTTTCAGGTGCAAAGCAAAATAAATCAGATTAATTATTACTCAATAATTTATTAATACAATGATATAGCCCGCTGAAAAAGTTATTCCGTATACCATAAGGTTATCCTCGACCTAGCACGAGATAGACCACATCCGAGATATGAAAATTAATTTATTTTACACACACAATACAATTTACACAGCGTAAAAGCCGTTTTCGACATGCTTCATGGCTTGTCCATTAAATAAGGTGTTACCCCGACATGAGGAGTAACGTGGATACGGACTCTAATTCCCGCGACTCAAACCTGAAAAAGCTGCAAACGATACACGCATTCTTGCTTCATTTATCAGTAATCGTTTATTCTTCACCTCAGTCATCCCCTCCAGTATTCTGAGAGCGATGAAAAGACCATCAGAAGTTCTGGCCGCCCAAGGCGTGAGCAAAGTCAGCACCGACGTCAGCAAGATGCCCACACCTCCCACCAGCCTGCCCCCGAAGCGCTCAGCAGCGATGCCCGACAGCAGGTTGGTGCACGCGTAGCCGTAGTAGAACGAACCCAGGATCAGACCCTGGGTCTTCTCGTCCCAATCAAACTCGCCTGGCTGCACCAGGTTTACATGTTTGAGTTTAAACTTAAAAACCTCCGTTGTGGAGGTGACATCTTGGCTGTTGGTGTCTTAACTAATTTATGGATTAAGTTTCATTGCCATAAGAGAGTTGTAAGCCATTTATTTTGTTCCAACGTTACATTTAAGATTCACGGCTTGTAGATTTGCGCATATTTGATTGCAAAAAGCAAACGTGTCTATTGCTCAAGGTCATACATATTTAAGACTTTGGATCTAGAAGTTTATTCTTTAACTGGCATCCTCGTTTAGCACCATTTCCATCACTAAGATGGTTCATCGAAATCTGTCAATCTAGTAAGGTAACCTTTTGACCCTCCGTGATTGATTAATGTAGTTTATAATTTATGTTGAATACTCTGTATAGGAAAAAAGAGAGCATAGGCTGCTGTGTTTGAATTCTGTCAATCATCCACTTCTCAAGCAGCAATTGTTTTTGTCCTTAGTTACCATAATTCACAAAATTATTGATCTTTCTCAAAAATATTATTTTTCATCCTCGTCGTCTTCAACCATAATCCTTTATCGTACCTGGCTGTAGCCATCGTCCTGTCCGTAGTCGTCGGGCAAGGGGCAGGCGAGGTCATCGTCTGTGAAGTTGGTGTTCGTGGTCACGTTCTTGGCGACCATCGCGACGATGGCGACGGAAAGGTTCACGCGCATGGCGTAGATCACAGCGAACCCCAGGAAGCCCATGAACGCGAACGTGTGGCGGGCTCCCCATATCTCTGAATAATTTTTATTAAGGGGACCATGTCGGTCCAAAATCGACGGGTTTGGCTTTTCCGGTTTTTAGTCTAATCTTAAAGCTGACATTCTGAGCTATCCAACGGTACCATTACCATCTCTGTACGTTGATTTATGCGTTCACTAGAGATTCCGCAAGGGGGGAGGTGGGGGGTCTGTAAGAAATAAGACTGGAACAAATTCGCTGCCCAGCCTATAAATAGAGTCTCTACTGTGTCTGTGAGTGAAGCTCAGTTACTCTCCTGTCGTTGAACGGGGAGGTGTACATGTAGTCGCTCCCACCATCCTTGACTGGTACAAGCTCCAGTAACGTTTAGTTTCGTATCTTTGCTACATTGAGTGGCAATTCGGATGGGTGCGGGACTTTGTCGGGCTGCTCTGAACATTCACACTATTTGTCACGACAAACTTTATAACCCTATAGTTTTGAAGCTACAGCGATGATACATATACCATTCGATTAGTAATAAAAAGATCTAGCGATTCTCAAGTCATTTTTCGATTTTGTTTTAGTTTGGATTATATATTGCAAAATGGGGGGAGGGGAAATTGGGGGAAATTTCGAAAATTCGAAATTTTTCGGAAAAATCACCATAACAAGAGAACCTAGAAAAAAATTGAAAAAGTAGCCCGACAATCGCTAGATATTGTCTATACGCATAGAATAATACGTGTTTCGATGCTATAGCATGTGATTTGCAACAGTTATGAACTGTTTTAGAGTACCCCCTTTTTGGCCGTTTCTATGAATTTCACGTTTTCTTTCATTTTTTTTCGAAAATTTCACATGAAAAAAATAGTCGTCATTTTCGATTTTACACATGTGTACCAAGTTTTGAGATGATCCTTCCCTAAATATAGAAAATAGATTTTGACCGACATGGTCCCCTTAAGTGCAACTCAAACACTATAAATTTCCCGTTGTTATTCCATTTTGACTGTCCAAAATAGCGCTTTTCAGTTTTCAATTACGAATAATATAATATACATAGATATAGTTAAACCTTCTATTAGCACCAAAAAGCATACGAGATGCACTTTATCACATTTTAGTGCTATTTCCATCAGAGAAGCATGTAATTTTATTGAATTAAAAATATGAATGTCACTCGTTTGCTTGCATCGCAAAATAACATGAAATTTAAAAGCTAATTGCATTGTTTTCCTAACAGTCTGGTCTCTACTAAAATCAAGAAATTCACGTCGAAACGATAAAATGAGGTCGTTCTGAGGCGCGATAGTAGGAACGTTGTTTATTGTTCTTTTCCATACTTCGGCTCCGCGTTCGAAGCTTTGTCTAGCGAACTAAAATACTTGTTCATGAAATACTTCCCGATTGACAATCTTCATGTTTCGTTGGAAAATAATTTAAAACCGATTCTGTCTTTAGATAGAAAGACATGCTCCGTATTCATATGCGACAGTCCCTATTTCCGAATATTGTTGTGCACGATGTGCATCTGCGTATGTTTGGATGACGTCACACAATCTTTATTTATGGTCGCAAAGCATAAGGGCAGGAGTTGTAGGACTGAGCAGTTCCTATCGCGCGCTTCACATTCTGCTGGGCGCATCCGAGCCGAGCAGTGTGATGTCCCTATATCAGATAGGGAATTTAAGGCGTTAGCTTTAACTGCGTATTTTAGAATCCTTGTTCATTTTCAAACAGAGGCCCAGTTTGAATTCAGCGTTTAGCTCCTATCCACTTGATATTGTGAATAAATAGGTTTTTATAATTTTTTATGTGAGTTTTGTCCTTTATTTGTAAATTTAGTTTCTAATTTCGGTTCCGTGAATTTAGATTGTATTAACTTGGGATTTATCTGCTTTCTCGAATCTTCGAACTGACGGTGGAAATGAACCCCGAAAGGTTTTTTAGGAAGATATTAAGAACTTGTGGCGAATTTTCTTTGCTTTAAAATTTAATGAAAAAAAAAAAAATATTTTGGAAACGATCATTAGGTTCAATTTTAAAAGGTAAGACATATTTCATCGGCGCAAAAATTTTCACCTCATAGAGTAATTTTAAAAATTTGTGTACTTTATTTTACCACATTTTTGTTTTACGATTTCATTGACTATCATGGAGTTTGAAGGCGCTTACGTAAGGAATCATGAATGTGTATTCTGCACCTAATTTAGTAAACAAGAACATAATAATCTAATCTAAGATAGGCTCACAGGTTGTTTTGCAAGATGACGCTTCGCTTATATATGTTTTTTTCCTTTTTACATCAATATACAGTTTATGAATTATTTATGAAAAGTGTAAGAATATGCGCTGGTTATCATGTTTAAAGATGTGTTTAGTATTTTTAATTCCGGCATCATTATGCGATTGGTTTTAATTCCCTTGAGTACGCATGAGTCAAAAATATAAATACGCAATAATATGATCAACGTACTCATCATTTTGAGTCCCATGAGTGTTACTCGAACACTACAAGCATTTTTAAACTACCATCACCATAAAATGAATGGCATTCTAATTGATGTATATGAGGTAAATATCCCAAGTCATGTATACAACACATGAATGTGTCTTATATTTTATATAATTTATAAGAATATGATCCAGATAATAAAACAAGAAAAAAACCTACTTTAGTTTATACTTTAGAATTTTTATTTAGCTTAAATTTATCCTGTCAAAATTTTATCCCTTATCTTATAATTTCGACATATATCGATTCTCCTCAGATGAGACATAGATTACAGGAATATAATCAACGTTATTTCGTGCAATAACATTTTGTTTACATTCATGAATATAAATTAAATTTTATGTACTTTGAGGCTCTTATCTCCTCTGCATTAGATGTCAAAGTCAATCTTTGCGTACACTTGTGCCCGTCTTGATTAATAATCCATCAGAGTAAAGTTTTCGAGAGTAATTGATAAAATTAGTTAATGAAAGGAGTTAATAGTTTAAATATAGTGTATAACAACTGATAAATTATGAGTGAACATTATTGGAATGACAAAATATTTACACGCATTGTGTAACAATTCAACAGTCAATGAGACTCAATGATTATGAGAACTATAAAACACAACAATAAATTATTTTAAACTTTACCCATATTTTGCAGAATTTTAACTGTCATAGTGATCCCGATGTAAAAATTTTAGTTAAAAGAATAGTTAGGAAGTTTTAATTTCCAAAATTGCACCATTAAATATTCACCTAAAACAGAAATAATGTGAACGTCACCGTGAATTATATAATTTGATTAGCAATCACCCACCTTTGTTTCCATCGCTGGTGTCCTCAGGAGGCGCGGATTGCGTTGCACGTAAACTCTTTCCTCCGGCAGAGCTCGCCAGACTTTCTCGATCATCTTTCATGGTACAGGGTGCGGCGTGGGAACTTACTCTTTTAAAAAAATCACAAAGTAAAAAGTATTAAAGATAGCGTTTTAATTCTTTCTTTTTTACAAAGAGCTACATTTAAAGTTTCGTTGGGTTTACTTACAAGTTTAATTCTTGAATATTACATCTTNAGCACATGATTGTCATGGTAAGGTTGGGAAGGATGTGTGAGGGTGGCTTCTACTTAACCACAACAGCACATGATTGTCATGGTAAGGTTGGGAAGGATGTGTGAGGGTGGCTTCTACTTAACCACAACAGCACATGATTGTCATGGTAAGGTTGGGAAGGATGTGTGAGGGTGGCTTCTACTTAACCACAACAGCACGTGATTGTCATGGTAAGGTTGGGAAGGATGTGTGAGGGTGGCCTCTACTTAATCACAACAGCACGTAATTGTCAGGGTAAGGTTGGTAGGATGTGTGAGGGTGGCCTCTACTTAACCACAACAGCATGTGATTGTCATGGTAAGGATAGGAAGTATATAAGGGGATGTGGCCTCTACTCTACCACAACAGCACGTGATTGTCATGGTAAGGATAGGAAGTATATAAGGGGATGTGGCCTCTACTTTACCACAACAGCACGTGATTGTCAAGGTAAGGATGGAAGGATGTGTGAGGGTGGCTTCCAGTTTACAACACCACGTGTTTGTTATGGTAAAGTTAGGAAAGAAGTGTGAGGAAGGCACAGAAGCGACTGTTTTGACCGTAGGTGGCTGCTGTGTGATTAAGTCTAGACTTACGATAGCGATAAGGAGGCGCGTGTTATCTATTTTTGCGGCTATGGTACTAATTACCCATGATTTAGAAAAAATAAGCTAAGATGACAAATCGTGGGAGATGATTAGATAGCCTAAAGTTGTTGTTGGGTTGGTGTGGCAATGAAGCAGGTGTGCAAGGTTATTGGTGTTAAAAGTTCTAAACATATGCGGAGAACTTATTCAAACCAATGAAGTTTTTATTCCCGAAGTTGATTTTTACGATTCGATGGTGCATTTTGTTTAAAGGTCAAAGAAAAACAAAAGGATATAAATTTAGCAGGGTATAAATATTTAAATGCCCTTTACAATGGTTTGCACAATGCGCAATGTCATTGACAGTTTAAATCACTTGAGACCTTTATAAAGCCAATTTCCTTTTTTCAATTAAATACTAGAAGGATATATCACACTTTAAATTCAATTAAATATCAATATAATATTACCATGAATATATAATAGCTTCTCTGAACTTTAAACTAATATTCATTTCGAAAAAAACGACTACAACATTTAGGATTACTCCTTAGCATGTTCCAAAAGCTGCATATTTTCGAGGAAGTTAGACACCCTTGCGGAAGTGAGATACCTTGAGTGTCTCACTTGTGAGACACCTTGAGTTTCGAGACACCCTTGCGAAATTGTTACGGTGGCTGGCGAGCTGGGCCCATTTTCCTGGCTATGGCCTGCGTATGCCTGATATGTCTACCAGGCCCATTGACTTTCAGTGAATACCTAAAATTTAGTAACGACCTCTGAAGCTATAACTTGTTTGGATAATAAATTGGCAACTCAGCTTCGTGTTGCTTCGTATGCCCAACCCCTGATAGCTGACAATTCCCTAATCCCATTCCCAGTAATTTCAATTCTCAAAATTCTGACATTAATTTGTAATCTGAAGTAATGTCAAATAAAAAAAGACCAGTTGTAACTTACAGTTAGCATAGAGTTTTAATTTAATTTCCGTTTTAAATTTGAAATACACTTAAATTTTTACTCATGAATGAAATGTGCACTTACCGAATGAAATGTGCACTTACCAAATTAAAAATATTATCTACCGTAATTAAAATGCCTTTCTCTCATTTTTGCAATGGTTCATGTCATCATCACTAAAAGTTAAGCGTCATGTCCTGATAATATCCCGATATGATTGGGTTCGTGGGAATAGGCGCTGAAAGAGCCCTCATAAATAATCAGCGCTAATAAGCTTCAAACAAACAAAAAAACTTACGAACAAACGCACAAAAACACAGAAACACTCACAAATTTATAATGATTAATGTATAATACAGCTTTATATTGAGTTGACTGACGAAGAACTAGAAGTGAAACGAACAGCTTTGGAAAAATTCAAGCTATTGATTTCGTTGCCAAAGTCCGATTTTCAGTTAGGTAGTTAAGAGTGAACGATAATTTATTAATTTGGTGTACAAATATTTTTCTGTTCAGGAGCTGGTAAGACCGAGAGAAATTTCCAAGTAGGCCAAATCTGAGGATACATGCAATAAAATACAATTTAACAGTTACAGTGAAGCAAATTGTATTTGCCGAAGTGCTGATACTGGAGGATTTACAGGACAAGGAGGTGGGCGGAGATAAATCTTGAAGCAGTTTCAGTGGAAGAAAATGTACAAATATTTTTAAAAAGCGAGGTTGACATGACAACTTAATTGGCAGGGATTTACAGGGGAGCTGTTTAAATATCTTAAATTTAAGCTTATCAACACTTGAAAATATCTTCGTTCCTCTTTTAAACATAAAAATTTTTAAACAGGAGTAATATAGTGCCAAGATCTCATGACGCATTCGCATATTTCTGTATGTTTCTTTGCATTTTAAGGCTTCAGACTGAATTATTCAATCTCGGTTTATTGACAGTCCGTTGTGTTGTCTGTTACCTTTCATCACTGCTTCCTCGTTTGCTATAATTTAAGGTATCTTCGTATTTTCTGCCGGTTGTAGCTTTTATGAGTGTGCTTGTTATTAAATGAACGATAGGAGACCCACTATCGTCAAGTATCATTATTGCGAGAGAGTTGAATAACTTATTTCAAACTAAGCCAGCATTAACCTGTAAACGATGAGTGTTCCCTAGTCAAAACTTGAGATAATGATATACACAACCAAGCATGACTGAGTTTATAGCAACAAAAAGAGCTATTTGTACATAGCTGACTTGGTGAAAGATGGAACCACATTCCGAGTCTGATTTAAATACCTGGCTAATTACGAATCACAATCGGATAATGGTCTCACGTTGGATGAGGTTAAGTGATAAGAGCGCAGGCGGTAGACGCTATCAAGTTATTCTCCCTGTGGCCAAGTTGAACAACATATAACTTTGGGGCTCAGTCATTAAAGTTTGACACGCAGTAGCCGATTAAATAAATAACAATGGGATTCACTTATCGGAGCTCGCCACACACTAGCCGATCAACCAATAACTCAGGGGTTCATTCTTTGAAATTCACCCCACATTAGCCGGGTAAACAAATACCTTTGGGGTTCAGTCATCGGAGTTCGCTACGCAGTAGCCGGGTAAACAAATAAGTTTGGGGTTCAGTCATTGTAGTTCACTGCGTAATAGCCGGGTTTACCGATAACTCTGAGGTTCAGTCATCGGAGTTCGTCACGCATTAGCCAGGTAAATAATCACTGCGAGGGTAGTGGAGATGTCAGAGTTCCAACACATTAGATGGGGTTAACAAGAGTTCAGCCTTGGTGGTGGAACGTATAGTTGCCCATCAAGCTGCTAAGTAGACAATTACGGCTCTGATGGTGTAAACAAAGAGTTCGTCATTCGGTAGCCGAGGTAAAGGGCAAATATACAGAGACTAGTGTGTAACACAACTGTCGCTCTAAACTCGCAGTAAGATACTGATCAATCACAAGCGCAAGTTCCGTCCTAAGTGCGAGGAAATGCATTGGAGAAGAAGATTCGAGGCCGCAGGTTTGCTGAACCTCGTACGGCTACAGCATTATTCACCGTATTGCAGCTACAGCACTATTCGCCGTAGTACGGTCACAGCGAATACGGCGAATAACATTATTCATCAAATCCGAATGGAGTTGATGTCTTAGATAAAATTCAGGCTTTGTCTTGCTGTTGATCAACTCGGCATCGAAGTATGAGTACCATTGCCACATGTCCATCCTAGCTGTTGATCAGCTCAGCATCATAGTACGAGTACCATTGCCACATGTCCATCCTAGCTGTTGATCAACTCAGCATCATAGTACGAGTACCATTGCCACATGTCCCTCCTAGCTGTTGATCAACTCAGCATCATAGTACGAGTACCATTGCCACATGTCCATCCTAGCTGTTGATCAACTCAGCGTCATAGTACGAGTACCATTGCCACATGTCCATCCTAGCTGTTGATCAACTCAGCGTCATAGTACGAGTACCAGTACCAAAGATTCAGCAGACCGTACGACACGGGGAATAGAATCCTCGACAGCTCGTCGATCCTCGAGACCGAGTTGACTGAGCCGGAGACGGTCGCCTCGCGCTCTCGCGCTCGTCTGTAGCTCTCGGAGCCTGACAACACGAAATAAAAAAAATATAACTCGGTACTCACTGCAGTAAGTGACAAAGAGCGCATTTTCTCGACGACGAAAACGTGAAGTCACGGACGGACAGACAGACAGACGGACATGACGAGCACAATAGTGCATTTTCTCCATAAATGAGAAAATGCAATAAAAAGTAACAAGCCACTGGAAAAATAACAAATCACACAGAATTCTACTTCTACAATCAACGCGTATGTGTTCGGAAAATAAGCATTAAGTACTGTATTAAGACGTGCAGTCGGGATGAGAACAACAATACATAGTTACAAAATATTGACTTATTACTGCTACAATACATAGACTTATAACTATCCGGTAAAAGCGGGAATAATTTTATGTGATATTTCTTCAAAATTAAGCCTACCGACAACGCAGCGAGTGAGCTGGAACCAGAAACCTTCTTTCTTGGACGTTTGCGTCTCCGCGTTTCTTTGGTTTTGAATTGAAGTTTCACTCAGCGCTGTGATATTGCTCTGAAAAAATTAGGTAGGAGTTACTTTCCTAGCTTCTACTCTACGATACATGATTTGATTCTTCATTGAAACCTAGACATTACCACCCCCAGGCAGTCTCAATATGAAGTTTATTTTGGCTTAGTTTAGAAAAAAAAATTCGAATTTATTCTCGGATGTCACAATTCAGGTGCAAATAACATTACAAAGTAGAATTATTTAGCAAATTTTTAGCCGTATGTGAAGTCCGAGACATTTGACGGCAATAAAAAGGACACGCGCAGCAGGAGACCTCATATCGGCAATTGTCCACGTCTGATTTAACAAAATATTTTGACTTCAATTAGTTACTGAGCATCTATGCAAGCAACACTTGACTATGGACGACAAAAAGGCCGCCAAAATATCTCTGTGTATAAGATTGAGAAACACTTGCCAACAATCATATTAATTTATATTAATTTTACTCATGCAATTTTAACGAGTCAAGCGCTTAATGTGGAAATCAACCTTACCGATCCCATTGAAGCGTAAAACGAAGCAAATTTCCCTTGCTGTTGCAAGGGCTTGAAATTTTTCGATTGGAGGTCCATTGTTTCACCGTTGCTCTGCTCATGCATAGGAGCGTCTCCTTTATTAAGGCTTACTTGCCCTATGAAACTTGTCTGTCCATACGCGCAGTTCTTAACCTCACACACGGTGTCGAGATGTGCACTTGACTGAGTCGGGACTGAGTACGAATCAAGCCGGTTATTGGAGTCAAGAAGGATGTTTTGTGAACTGTATTGAGATTCACACGATTGGCATTTAACTGGAGGATTTGTCTCTGTATTGAAAAAGTTTCTGTCCATCTCGCCACTGGTGTATACTCGAGTGTTATCTTGGTATCCATGTGATGTCACTTCAGCTTGCACATCGTCGCAGCAAACCTCCTGCTGATTTCCTTGGGTAAACTCCGGCTGGATATTGTTTATGACGTGGTATCCTCTGACAGCAGACTCCCGATGAGCCGTTGAGAGACAGGTTTCGGTTGAGACCGACAGGTTTGGTGGTGCTGGTTGTCTTACCCCTCGGTATTGTGAGATCGCTGGTCCATCGTCTACCAGCAACACGCTGCTTAGACCGATCACGCTAGAGCCGCATTCATCCATGCCGAACGAGTTGATTGTTCGAGGTCGGGTTAGCATCCTGAGGACAGATTTTAAGAATTTACTAACTATTAACTTAATGATTTATCAGCACATTTTATGCGTGTCGCGATGAGAAAGCCTTATTTTATTTTATGTTCAGATGGTGCACCGGGTGTCATGCTAATATTCGTATTTTTATTATACATATTTCATATTTTATGATACGTGGAATTCTCATGATTTTCAAATGCATTATTATGTAAATATTATCGTTTAATTAGCTGGGGCAGATACACGATTCTTTTCTGTTGTTGCCCGAAAAATTTTTAATATGATTATTTTCTGTTGATATTCATTATACATAAACACTAATTTGAAAGTCCCATCAAATTCTTACAGATGTTTTAACTACTATTGAGCAATGATCACTAGTAACGAAAATATTTTCTCAAGGTATACCAGTGCGTAGCCTGACAAGTATACATTTGTCAAGACAAGTGACCATAGGATCAGCCCAGTAGAAATGAGACTGATATTTACCATATTTTGTTGTGCTTGAATTCTACTAGATTAACTAATTGATTAATCTCTCACCTGCGAATCGTGCTGGCTGGAATATCTTCTTCAGTGTCTTCTATGTCCTGCCATTCGCCGTCCGGAAGCGCTTCTCCTGATCCCACCTAATGGCCGACGAGTGAAACTCGTAAGTTATCCCTTACCGGTCATCAATCTTCAACCATTTACAAACTCAAATATCAATGTTAACAATTCACTAATTTATTTTACGGCAATTAAACTGGTTTTTAATTTGATGTTGATATGCAGCAATAAATACCTTGGTGAAGTAATGTACTCCAGCGCACTGCAAGAGGGTAGCCATGCAGTAGGCGAATGACATGAGAATGAACCAGTCCAGCGCCGTGGCGTAGTGAACTTTCGGTAGGTCGGTGCGGCTGTCCAGGCTGATGGTTGATAACGTCAAAACTGTCGTTATGCCTGTTGAATTATTCAGTTCTGTTATCTATATGTCCGTTGAATGAAGAATTGAATTTTTATCGAAGTAACTCATAGATTTTGTGTTAGACAATTTATTTGAAATTGTTCCGGATTGTAATTAATAATTTTTGTAATTCTTACTATGTTCTAAAGATGGAAGGTATGTAAATTGTATTGCATTATTATACAAGTTAACTGTGACTCTAGGGTTTGCATTCGATACGCAATTATTATCGCTGCCTTCGATTATGCGAGAAATCGTTCAGTGTCTCAATTTTCACTCGAATAATAGAATTTTTATTACAAGCAAATGAGGAATTTTCGATTCAATAAAAAATTCCTGATTCACGACTCACCCAGTCCCACTCTTGACTCACTCAGTCCCACTCATGACTCACCCAGTCCCACTCATGACTCATCCAGTCCCACTCATGACTCATCCAGTCCCACTCATGACTCATCCAGTCCCACTCATGACTCACCCAGTCCCACTCATGACTCACCCAGTCCCACTCGATCGCTGGTTGCTTCACGGTTTAACCAGAAAGACACCCACGACAACACCACGATTAAAAAACATGGCACGTACACCTGTAAAAAGCAATAAATATTAATTAAAAACATTAATAAAATGATACTTTTCTATGGAGAACAAATTGGTATAACTAGAAAAACCAAGTGGCATCACAAAAAATTACCGTTGATAAAAACTCGAAACAACAATTTCAAAATAATTATTTAATCAAATTATTCTCCGGAAAACTAGATTATTTCAAATTTTACCAAAAAAGTACTGAGCTATAAATACACTAAAACTAAAAAGTTGTTAGCAAGATTTTTGTTAGTAAACGTATACAGAAAATTAGTTTTTTAATCTTGAGGAATGAAACTAATTATTAAGGAACTAATTACAAGCATCAAACTTATCTTATTTTGAATAAAAAGTGAACAAAATTTATATAAAGTTCACCTGTATGAGGAAATATCCCGTGTGACGCTGCAGGTTGAAATTAACTTGAAGAATCGAATAATTTGCTGTAGGAGAAAAGATTTGAACTGAAAATTCAAAATGAATTGAAAAATGTTTGTAACAGAAAATTCTGAATTCAAAAATATTTCTGCTTTTACAATGAATTTTGTACGCAAACATATGTATGCTTGTATTTTCTCATTGGCCAAAATCGATGTATAAAAGTTATTAATTTTTCTATAATATAAAAATAGTCCATCCTGGAACCAAATTATACAATTTCCAATAATTTCAATGACTCAAACCAATGTTAAACAATTTTGGCAATTGCATGTATCAAGAAATACATAAATTAACCTCTACATGTAATTAATAACCAGACATTTGAACAAATAGGTCATTGAATTGACTCACCACTATCAGTGCGCCATCCCGCGGAGTAGTTGGTGCACTTGGTGTTAAGCAAGTCGAACTGACTGAGCGTCATGCCTGCCTCGAACGTCACCAGTTTGTTGTCCCACTCGTAGCGCACCTCCCGCTCAGGGTATGCGTCTGTAATTAGGCTGTCCGTATTAAGCGAATAATTGAAAGTTTGTTGTCACACTCATAGCGCACCTCCCGCTCGGGGTATGCGTCTGTAATTAGGCTGTCCGTATTAAGCGAATAATTGAAAGTTTGTTGTCACACTCATAGCGCACCTCCCGCTCGGGGTACGCGTCTGTAATTAGGCTACCCGTATTAAACGAATAATTGAAGTCTGTTGTCCCACTCGTAGCGCACCTCCCGTCTGTAATTATATAGGCTGTCCGTATTAAAATGGAATGGTTCATTTTTAATTTTCATTTGTCGAGCCTAATAAAAGATCACTATAGTTAAATTATTATTAACCGAATTATTGAAGGTTTGTTGTCCCACTCGTCGCACCTACCGCTCGGGGTACGCGTCTGCAATTAGGCTGTCCGTATTAATCGAATAATTGAAAATTTTGTTGTTCCACATTCTATTATTCTCGTTAATCCTTTATTGAATGCAGAGAAAAAATTCTATCGAAAAAATGTCTGTCTATAATAGATATGATTTTCTATATTGGGCTATAAGCGAGCCGAAATCTAATATCTCAACCTTTGGTCGATCAATATTTCTGTAATAATAATAAATTATTTAAGAAAGTAAAAACTAATTAAAACATTACTCTAGCAGATTAAATAAATTTTCATTTAGTGAAGATAGTGTGGAACATTCGACCTGCTCATATACTCTAACAAATACAGCTTGTAGATTAAGTTTTATTAATAGACATTATTAGATAAGTTCTGTTCAATTAACTTATTGCATCGCAAACAGCCGTAAGAAATTGCTGGGGCACTCACAGCTGCTGATGATGAGAGGACACGACTGTTTGTCCATCGGGAAGTTGCGGAGCTCCATAGGACACTTCGCCTTGATGGTCAGCCTTCAACAGAAACAGAAATATAGTTCTTATATTTATAAATACGATATGTATATGCATTAATATGTGTAATTGCCGTCCGAAATTAATTGTAAAAGTTCCGCAGCTAGTTTAAATTCGAAATTCTTGAACCTATAAGATTATTTTTATATCAACCAGAGTATATATTTTTCCCTAGAATTTGGAATATTCAAAGACTATAATTTGTAAGCAAATTTACCCTTGGAAAGTTGCTGAGTATAAGCCTTACAATCCAATTTAATTGGACCGAAAGAGTATTTCTTATAGGCCAGTTTCCATATAATTTGGCATATTTATTTACTAACATTTGTTAACAAATTTAGCCTTTGAAAGTGGAAAAGGATATACTCTCCACTTTGATTGGACCAGTAAGGGGTTCGCCTGGAGTCATATTTGGTCTACCGGGACGCACCAATTTATTACACGTGATCCACCATGAGTTGATACTCGAAGGAAATTTGATGCCAGGATACTAATTGATGAAGTGAAAATATATGGACCTCGTATGAGGTAAATATGGCAGGGAGTTTCTGGATTAAAATATACTTTTGCAAAGCATTTATTATTGACAGAAACGCGATAATTATGATGTGAATAGCTATTATTGCGTTGAATATTTGATGCAGGGAGTCATCATATCAGAGCACATTAGTTAAGTTGTGTGTGTCAGAGTGCGAGACACTAAATGCTGCGTGTCTCAGAGTACGAGACACTTGGTGCTGCGTGTGTCAGAGTGCGAGACACTTAATGCTGCGTGTCTCAGAGTACGAGACACTTAGTGCTGCGTGTGTCTGAGTGCGAGACACTTAATGCTGCGTGTCTCAGAGTACGAGACACTTAATGCTGCGTGTGTCATAGTGCGAGACACTTAATGCTGCGTGTCTCAGAGTACGAGACACTTAATGCTGCGTGTGTCTGAGTGCAAGACACATAATGCGAATAATCATAAGACACATAATCAATACACCACTAGCGAATCGATCAGCATCATGCAACATGTGTGTGGGCTCAGCACATGGAACACCTTGTGCTGAACTTCAGGTCCGGCATATGTTGTTGCAGCACACAAAAACGTGGCATATGTCGGAGCAGCAAATGGCTTGTGTCAGAGTAACACATGGCACACGGCATGTGTCGGAGCAGCACATGGCTCGTGTCAGAGTAACACATGGCACACGGCATGTGTCGGAGCAGCAAATGGCGCGTGTCAGAGCAACACATGGCACACGGCATATGTCGGAGCAGCACATGGCGCGTGTCAGAGCAACACATGACACACGGCATATGTCGGAGCAGCACATGGCGCGTGTCAGAGCAACACATGGCACACGGCATGTGTCGGAGCAGCACATGGCCTGTGTCAGAGCAATACATGGCACACGGCATGAGTCGGAGCAGCACATGGCCCGTGTCAGAGCAATACACGGCACACGGCATGTGTCGGAGCAGCACATGGCCTGTGTCAGAGCAATACATGGCACACGGCATGTGTCGGAGCAGCACATGGCCTGTGTCAGAGCAACACATGGCACACGGCATATGTCGGAGCAGCACATGGCCTGTGTCAGAGCAACACATGGCACACGGCATATGTCGGAGCAGCACATGGCCTGTGTCNAAGGTGATGGTAGCAGTTCTGTAAGGGGTAGAAGGTGATGGGTAGCAGTACTGTAAGGGGTAGAAGGTGATGGGTAGCAGTACTGTAAGGGGTAGAAGGTAATGGGTAGCAGTTCTGTAAGGGGTAGAAGGTGATGGGTAGCAGGTCTGTAAGGGGTAAGTGATGGATAGCAGTTAGGTAAGCGGTAGAAAGTGATGGGTAGCAGGTCTGTAAGCGGTAGAAAGTGATGGGTAGCAGTTCTGATAGGGGTAGAAGGTGATGGGTAGCAGGTCTGTAAGGGGTAAGTGATGGGTAGCAGTTCTGTATGGGGTAGAAAGTGATGGGTAGCAGGTCTGTAAGCGGTAGAAAGTGATGGGTAGCAGTCTTGTAAGGGGTAGAAGGTGATGGGTAGCAGTTCTGTAAGCGGTAGAAAGTGATGGTAGCAGGTCTGTAAGCGGTAGAAAGTGATGGGTAGCAGTTCTGTAAGGGGTAGAAAGTGATGGGTAGCAGGTCTTTAAGGGGTAAGTGATGGGTAGCAGTTCTATAAAGGGTAGAAAGTGATGGGTAGCAGTTCTGTAAGAGGTAGAAGGTGATGGGTAGCAGTTTTGTAAGCGGTAGAAGGTGATGGGTAGCAGTTCTGTAAGCGGTAGAAGGTGATGGGTAGCAGTACTGTAAGCGGTAGAAGGTGATGGGTAGCAGTTCTGTAAGCGGTAGAAGGTGATGGGTAGCAGTACTGTAAGCGGTAGAAGGTGATGGTAGCAGTACTGTAAGGGGTAGAAGACGTTGGGTAGCAGTTCTGTAAAGGGTAGAAAGTGATGGGTAGCAGGTCTGTAATGGTAGAAAGTGATGGGTAGCAGGTCTGTAAGGGTAGAAGGTGATGGGTAGCAGTTCTGTAAGGGGTAGAAGGTGATGGTAGCAGGTCTGTAAGGGTAGAAGGTGATGGAAGCAGTTCTGTAAAGGGTAGAAGTTGATGGGTAGCAGGTCTGTAAGGGATAGAAGGTGATGGGTAGCAGTTCTGTAAGGGGTAGAAGTTGATGGGTAGCAGGTCTGTAAGGGTAGAAGTTGATGGGTAGCAGGTCTGTAAGGGTAGAAGGTGATGGGTAGCAGTTCTGTAAGGGATAGAAGGTGATGGGTAGCAGTTCTGTAAGGGGTAGAAGGTGATGGCTAGCAGTTCTGTATGGGGTAGAGGGTAGCAGTTCTGTAAGGGGTAGAAGGTGATGGGTAGCAGTTCTGTAAAGGGTATAAGACGATGGGTAGCAGTTCTGTAATGGGTAACAGTAAATGGGTGATGGGTAACAGTTAGTTCTGATATTGGTAGTTACTAAGCAAAGAGTCAGGCATAGTAAGAAAGCAAGTACTTGCCATGTCTTTCTCCGTGATTGGCCCCATGCTCCTAATTAGCAGATTCATCTTGATCTCGGTGAGTTTACCTACGGAAAATGGTGAATATTAGTGATTAGTTTAGTGTTAATTAAGAAATTTTGAATAAAAAATCGACATTAAAATTCTATTTGATCTTTCAGCAATACTACATCATACGATCCATCAAAGAGAAGAATAAATGAATTTACCAATTTAATGATTGATTTTGAACGATTTCAACTTGAACATTATTACATCACTGTAACCATGTTTTCATATACTTTTCTATAGTGATTCCTGATAAATGAAGTGTTGATGATGCGCCCGCAAAATACAAACGATTTTGGAGTGAAAGACTGCGGAAACGAAGGCACAAGATTTAATTTCCCGTGGAACTCTGGTGAGCGGCTCCACACAGTCGCGGGGTATCTATGATATTTTTTGCCAATAGCCTTTCGAAAGATGCGCTATTTTTTGGCATGAACTTCGTGCGTGATATGAGAACGCTTATCGACTTCATTTTGAACCCTGGAACTTCATCGTCTATATAAATTTATTGGGAATTGCTATAGAGAATAATTTTCATTCAGTAATGATTTTCCCTTCAAAATTGTTTAAATCAAAATAAGCTGTCGTGCGCTCTGGAATGTGAAGAATTTCTGAAAATTATTGTTTCACATTCACCCTAAAACAATCACGGAATATTTTTCGTGAAAATTTATCTAGATGTCTGAATTTTTAATCAGAATTCAAATATTTTTTCTCGCGATACATTTTGATAATTCAATTTCATGATAGATTTGTATATATGAGCGAGTCTAACGTTTGCAAATGTATTTTATTAGTGATCGGATCAATTTTGAATAACATCAACAATTTTATAGAAGGCGAAGCAGAAAAGATTTTAATTGCGCGTCTGGAGAAGCTAATTCATAATACTGATTCCTACTGACACTTTTCCTAATTTTCCTTCAGAGTTCGCGCCACTTTGACAGGACCCAGATTAATAGGATTAATATCCCAGATTAGTTTAGACATGACTTAACTTTTCTGGAGTGAATTAGTGTACGTACTTGTAATGGTTAAAGTGAGTTGAATTCAAACAGTCACTTATAATGATTCAGCATTAACTCCCACCTTCAGCATATCCTGGTCGTATTTTGTTATTGTAGTTCTTCAGAAGACTCTCAAGAAGTTCGCTGATGTTTCTTGATAAAGCCGCCAGGTCTTTTTTCACTCCCGCAGGATGGTAGGAATAAGGCGCGTCCGCATGCATCCCTGAACTCATATGCGACATCGCATACGCATCAATTGCGTAAAGATTGCCAGCATTCTTTGCATATATCGCGTTATGATTGCCAGCATCTAGTGCATCAATCGTCTTATGATTGCCAGCATCTATTGCATCAATCGTGTTACGATTGCCATTATTGATTGCAATGATTGCGTTTCGCTTTCCAACGTCGACTGCAACAATTGAACCAAGTTTGTCAGCACCAACTGTGAAATTCCGATCGATATTGCCTGATTTTCTGGCCTCAATATTCACTTCTTTTGACGATTCCCCTAGAATTGTGTCATATATTTCATCTCTTTTCCGTGCGTTTTTTGGGTGTACCGTATTTTGATGTTCATTGATTTCTACATACTTGAACTTAGAATTTTTGCCAGCTGAGGAAATTTTGTTTTTCGCATCATTTTGTTTCTTTGCAATACGAGAATTTATCTCGTACCAATTTTGAAAGTCAGAATTTTCAAGTTGGACATTTCTACTTGTTGAATTCAGATTGACATTGTTCGGGATTTTACTCATTAGTTTTCTAACCGATGTCTTGCCGGTTCTTATCTCATCTGATGTCCCCTTGGATTCGAATTGTTCTTCGTTATTTTTGTCAATAAAACCATTAGACTTCACAGAATAAAATCTAACTTCTCGCTTGAGGAAAGAATTTTCAATATCATTTTTAAAATCTGATTCGTTGGATACAACCAAATTAGACGCATCTTCTTTATCGTGATATTC